CTAGTGAAATATAAGCAATATGATGATATTTTGTTTGTGCTTTAACAAATAAATCTTGCCTGAAGATCAGAGTGTGAAGCTAGCCACCAGAGGCCAGACAGTGGTGGCACACACCTTTAATCCCAGCACTTGGGAGGAGGAAACGGGAAGTGATATGGCTGGGCAGAGAGAGGAAGTGATAAGGTGAGGTGGAGGCAAGAGCTTGGCCCTTTCAGGTGGAGGATCAGTAGAGGTAAGAAGTCTCTCTAGTGGCTGGCTCCTTTACTGATCTTTCAGCATTTACCCTGATATCTGGCTCCAGATTTTTATTATTAAGACCAATTAGGATTCATGCTAAACAATAATTAAAAGTCTCCCCCACCCAAAAAAAAAAAGCCCAGGGACAGATGGCTTTAGTGCAGAATTCTACCAGACTTTCAAAGAAGAGTTAATGCCACTTCTCCTCATGTTATGCCACAAGACAGAAATAGAAGGAACATTGTCCAGTAATTTTAAGGCCACAGTTACCCTGATACTCAAATCACATAAAAGCCCAACAAAGAAAGAAAATTATAGACCAATTTCCCATAGATGCAAAATTTGTCAATAAAATATTTGCAAGCCAAATTAAAAAAAAAAAAAGACCATCCATTACGATCAAGTAGGCTTCATCCCAGAGATGCAGGAATAGTCTGACATACTTAAACTGATAAATGTAACCTACTATGTAAACAAACTGAAAGACAAAAATAACATGAACATCTTATTAGGGACAGAAAAGGCCTTTGACAAAATCCAACACCCCTTCATGATAAAAGTCCTGGAGAGATTAGGGATACAAGTGACATATCTGAATATAATATTGGCAGTTTACAGCAAGTCCATAGCCAACATCAACTTAAGTGGAGAAAAACTCAAAGCAATTCCACTGAAATCAGGAACAAAACAAGGTTGTCCACTCTCTCCATATCTATTCAATGTAGCACTTGGAGTCTTTACTTGAGCAAGGCAACTCAAGATCAAGAGGATATGAATTAGAAAGGAAGAAGTCAAAGCATCTTAATTTGCAGATGATATGATATTATACACAAGTGACCCTAAAAATTCCACCAGGGAACTGCAATAGCTGATAAACACTTTCAGCAAAGTAGCTGGATATAAAAACAACTCACAAAAATCAGTAGCCTCCTATATACAAACAACAAACAGGCTTGAGAAAGAAATCATGGAAACAACACCTTTCACAATAGCCTCAAATAATATAAAATATTTTGGTGTTTAACTCTAGTCAAGCAACTGAAAGACTTGTATGACAATACAATTTCAAATCTTTGAGAAAAGAAATTGAAGAAGATATCAGAAGATACAAAGATCTCCCATGCTTATGGATTGGTAGTAAAAATGGCCATCCTACCTACCAAAAGCAATCTACAGATTCAGTTGAATTCCCATCAAAATTCCAACACAGTTCTTAATAACTCTTGAAAGGACAACTTTCAGGTTCACATAGAAACACAAAAAACCCAGGATAGTAAAAATTATCTTGAATAATAAAAGAAGTATGGGTGGTATCACTACCCCCCTACAGGGAACCATAGAGTCGGCTTGGCCTAGCTACCTTGAGAGGCATGGGTCATAAGTTTTTCAGGTTAGAGTCCATGGCTTCTGGGGCACAATGTGCTTTCCAGTTCCTGAGAGACTAATGCACTCCCTCAGGCAGTGGTGTCCAGGCCCCTTTGTCATTCTCTGTATGTTGTCTTAGTAGTCAAGGAAGCATGGAAACTTGACAGGACACTTGGTCTTAGACATTAATCTTAAGGTCCCTGTATGGCTTGCAAACTTCACTGTAACCTGGCAACTACAACTGTATTGATCCTGCCAATTGCCACTCTATTCTGTCTCTGATAAAGGTATAAAAAGTCTGAGTGCTCTCAATAAAATTGTCACAGTCTCAGTTGTGCTGAGGCCCCTCCAACCTGGCCTGATTTAATTCCTCAAGGCCATATCAGGTGATCTTGGCCCAGTAAGCAAGCACAGGCCCTTACAATCTCCAATTTCAAGTTGTACAACACAGCTATAGTAATAAAAAACAGCATGACATTGTCTTAAAAACAGACATGTTGGTCAATGGAACTGAACTGAAGATCAATATATAAATCCACACACTTACGAATACCTGATTTTTGATAAGGAATCCAGAAACACACACTGAAAAAAAAGCCAGCATCTTCATCAAATGGTGCTGGTCAAGCTGGATGTCTCCATGTAGAAGAATCCTAATAGATTTATATTCATCACCCTGCACAAAACTCAACTCCATATAAAGGAAAGACCTCAACACAAGGCCAGGTGGTGGTGGTGCATGTCTTTAATCCCAGCACTCAGGAGGCAAAGGCAGGCAGATCTCTGTGAATTCAAGGCCAGCCTGGTCTACAAAGCAAGTTCCAGGACAGCCAGAACTATTACATACAGTAATTCTGACTCAAAAAACAAAAATAAAAACAAAAAAACCTTGTGGGGGACAAAACTGGCTATGGCTTTTTTTTTTTTTTTTTTTTTAGGTTTTTTTTTTTTTTTTCGAGACAGGGTTTCTCTGTGTAGCTTTGTGCCTTTCCTGGAACTCACTCTGTAGCCCAGGCTGGCCTTGAACTCACAGAGATCCGCCTGGCTCTGCCTCCCGAGTGCTGGGATTAAAGGCGTGCGCCACCACCGCCCGGCGGCTATGGCTTTTTAAACCTCAAAGCCCACTCTCAGTGACACACTTCCAACAGGGCCACACTTGCTAATCCTTTCTAATTAGCCCATCTGTGGGGAACTAAACATTTAAATATATAAATCTTTGGGGAACCATTTTCATTCAAATTACCACAGAAGTCCATATGCCCAGATATCTTGAAAAATATTACCAATAATATGAAAGATCAAGTCAGTCTCTTGTTCCCAAAACCTACCAACCCACTAGTCTGATAGAAATGTTTGCCAATGAGAATTACCAAGATGAACCATAGGACACAGAATTTAAAAGAGCAATCATAAAGTTCATGAAAATTCAAGTAACTTAAAGAAGACACAAAGAAACAGTTCAATGAAATTAAGGAGAAAGATATTAATGAGAATAAACACCTGAGTGATGCCCTTCCCCCACAAAAGACCACACAAATTACATAAAGCTTGTATAAAGGATGAAGACAATCCAAGACTTGAGAACTGAATTCAATAAGGAAATAGAAACATTGAAGAGGACTCAAGCTGAAATAAAGATGGAATTGAAAAACTCAATAACTCAACTAGAAAACTCAAAGGAAAGCCTTACAAGTCGAATGAATCAAGAAGAAGATTAAAAAATTTGGACTAGAAGATAAAGTAGAGGAATAACAGCTGATTTCTCAAAGGAAACTTTGAAAGCCAGAAGAGCTTGTAGTAATGCATTCCAAGTCCTAAAAACTGTACTGGCCAGCCTAGGTTAATTTACCCAAGACTGTTGGCCATAAGTGAAGGAGAAAGAAAAACTTTCCATGACTTAAACAATCTAAAACAATCTATTTCCAACAAACAAAACATAAAAGAAAATATAGGAAGCAATATTTCAGGCTGAAGAAAGGAATGAATATAGTAGAGAGACTGTGGAAAAAAAAAAACAACAGCAAGACTTAATTATTAAAACACAACAACACCATAAAAAATAATCAACACAATGACAGCAATTAACACACACCTTTCAAAAATATTTTTAAATATCCATGTTCCCTCCAAGAGCCAAAGACCACCTAACGAAAGACCCTAACACCAGGAATAAGAAAAGAATTCTTGAGTTGTTAGTCAGGGTCGCCAAGAGTTTCCCCCAAACAGTTGACTATTGTTAGCACCCTTGGTTTACTCCAGAGGTAGAAAACAAATCTCTGTTGCTGAAGACACCAGGCACTCTACAAATAGGGCTCAGAGGCTCTAAGCTGGAACTGACTAGCTTTCCCGGTACCAGAAAGTGCTGTATTTCCAAAGGAGGGAAGCAACCAACAGTCCTACACGGCTACGATATCTATGAACTACAGTAATGACCAGCATGGCACAACAACCCAAAGGGTGGGTGCAAGAGTGGCACACATTTCTTGGTGGTAACCAATAGGTCTCTAACTGGACTTAATATGCATTCAACAAGAGGGAAACCATGCCTGGTACTGGAAACATAGCCAACGATCACAGATCTTGGAGAACATATAACCACCACTTTATTAAACCAATATAATATCCACTACATTCTAGCTATTTGTCCTTATACACACAGAGAAGTGTAGTTCTCACTCCCTATCAGGAAACATCCTTTTGCAACGGATACACTAGGAGACCATTATGGAAAACCACAACCAATCAAAACGCAGAATTGTGGAGCTCAGTCTCAATAATCTCCCAGCCCCGAGGCTCAGGGAATGTTTCAGAAGAGGGAGGAGGAAGGATTTTAAGAGCCAGAGGATGATGCAATTTGCTATGAGATTGTGTCTCCGAGGAATGTCAGATGCTACACCTATAAAGTCTCACCAACATGACTGTCTAAACATGAGCTGAATGAGGACAACAAGACATGCTGACGTGGGGGGAAGCCCAGGTGGCTTCAACCCTACACAAAGAACGACAGGATGACAGCGGGAGAAAGTCTTCACCAGGGAAAAGCACGTCAATTGGTTGTCCAATACCAAATGGTTGGCCCTGAAAACATACATACAAGTAACACACAGACTGAACAGGTTATATTTAGGAATGTCTATGTATATTCACATACATACATACATACATGGAATAACAATTAATAGAAAAAGGAGGCCATTTGTAAGAGAGCAAGGAAGGGCATATGGAAAGGTCTGGAGGGAGGAAAGGGAAGTGGGAGATGATACAATCTCTAAAGTAAAAAAAATATGAATGGACTCGAATAGAAACTCAAGGACAATTTTATTAGAGTTTAAAAGAAAAACACCTCAGGACATGTAAATCTTAGCAGCTGCCCAGAGAAAGAGGGAGCAAAGAAAAAAAAAAAAAGACCGTGCCATTTGAGTTAAGAAAGCACTGAGGTCAGACACTAGGTGGCAGGCAGCCACAAGGCAGGGAGAGGAAGCTTTAGAGAAAAAGTAAAATAAAATAAAATAAAATAAAATAAAAAGCCCATAGCATTGTAACCGGCTCCAAGACCTTCTTCATACAACCGACTCCATGATGGAACTATCAAGCAGGCCATAAAACTCAGCATGTAGTAGACAGCATCACCTGCCAAAACAAAAACAAAGACCTAATCCACAAAAATCCATAGTTCTGGGAAAGTCTCTAAATGTACTACCCTTGTTTTTTTGGCTTCTGTAGTTCTACTTCTGGCTAATTGCAGGATGTCAACCCAGGGATGGTTTTTTTTGTTTGTTTTGCTTTTTGTTTAAAAGCTCACCTTAAGAAAGGGCTACACTAGGATCTCAAACACCCAGCATAGTCATTGGCTGGCTAACTGAACGAAAAGGAGGACATGACTGCTCCCAGGTATGGTTGAAGAGAAGGATTTTATTGTAGATATAAGGGAAAGTATAGCCAGAGGCATCTGGAAGGGTCCAGACTGAACCTGGCCATGAGATGTGATAGGGGTTAGAGGAAAAGCGAGAGAGAAACGGGGAGAGAGCAAGCAAGCAGATCAAGAGAGGAGCAGAGGGCCACGAGAGAGAGAGAAGAACCAACAGAGTGTATGGCCAAAATGGCTGGTTTATATAAGAATTAGAAGCTGGGGAAAGGGAAGGGAAGCCTAGCCCCTGGGCTGGAGAGGTGACCAGGTGAGAAGCGCTGGGAGGAACCATAGAAACTGATAAGCCTTGTTCTAGGTCTCTTTGGGACCTGACACTAAGACTTTCTATTGCCTTAAAACCATGTCTGAGCACTCTTCCCTGGTGGATAACCCACACTGGCATTAAAGAAGCAAACTTAGGTTCTGGCCAGCATCCTGAAGCGAGAGCTAGAAGAAAGGAAAGGAAAGTTCACAACTTTCTGAGCCAGGACTCAGAAGAGTGAGCAGACCCAGCCAAACTTCATGACAATTCATAGGGGCTAAGCTAGGGCAGAAGGAATTCTGGGATGGAAAAACATAGTTCATTAAAGGAAAAATTAATTTGCCTATGTCTTTGGACTAAGGTGAATCTGACTTCCTCAGGGTGGTCCTGCCTTCTGGAGGCATGAATTCATGAACCCGCCCAACTCTATTAATTTAAAGTCTGAGTCAATCACATGTCTTCACCTAAAGGTCAGTCCACAGGCCTGGGCACACGTCTGTCCCTTTCATCTTAATAAAACTCTTGTTAGCGGATTCTGTCGTGTTTCATGACATTTCCTCGCAGGGTAAGAGCGCCGCAAAATAACTAACAATAACAGTAGCAGAATTACAGTTATGAAGTAGCAACAAAAATAATTTTATGTTTGGGGTCACCACAATATGAAGACTTTATCAATAAAGGGTCGCGGCAATAGGAAGGTAGAGAACCACTGGTCTAGGGAATGGTACTCAGGGGCACAGTGTTTGACCATCACCCATGAGTTCCAAGGGCAGATATCAAGTAAGAAAAAAAAATTTGCCTGGAGAGATGGTTCAGTGGTTAAGAGGACTTCAGTTCAACTTCCCAGCACTGATACAGTGGCTCATTACCATCTGTAACTCCAGTTCCAGGGGAGTCAAGACTTTTTTCTGACTCCCCTGAGCACGTGGTACACATACATATATGCAGGAATTCATACACATAAGTCTTTAAAAATAGAAAAAGAAGGCACTGGAGTGGTTGGGAACAGAGCTACATTATCATTCCGGCTCATTCCTACTCTTTTTTTTTTTTTTTTTTAAGATTTATTTATTATGTATACAGTATTCTGCCTGCATGTATCCCTGCAGGCCAGAAGAGAGCACCAGATCTCATTACAGATGGTTGTGAGCCTCCACGTGGTTGCTGGCAATTGAACTCAGGACCTTTGGAAGAGCAAGCAGTGCTCTTAACCTCTGAGCCGTCTCTCCAGCTCCTCATTCCTACTCTTAATGTTAAATTCCTGACCCCCCCGCCCTACAAATTAGGACAGTGAATCACTATGTATTACAGGGCTGCCCTCCAATTCTCCATCCTCCTGCCTCAGGCCTTCCAGTGTTGGGATAACAGGCGTGCGCTACCAACCGGCAAGGCGCACTTTGGGGACCCGGGCCACAAAATGCACTGCAACCGATGTCCACTGAGAAAAGTGTTTGTATTCTACCACGGGGCTTGGATTCTTCAAAAGAAAAGAAAATTACATGTCCGGCCGGGATAACTCAAATTAAACGCTAAAATGAGAATATAACTTTATGTCCAGTCTACTTGCCGGGAACAAATTTTTTTTTTTTTTTAAAAAAAAAACACTGAACGGTGAATTGGAAGAAAAATTCCTCCAAACTCACTAAGCAGCTTCTCCCTTCAGAACTGTATTTGACCGAGAAGGAACCCTCCTCCCGGTGGGCGGAGCCTGAGACTAACAAGTGTGGCCCGGAAGGGTCAAACTTAGTCGACTCCCGCCGCGCTGAGCGAGCTCCGGGGAGAGGGGTGCCAACCGTAGTCGGCCTTTCCCACGCAGAGCATCACGGGAGGAGGGAACGCCCTCCCTGTGGAGAGCCACAAGGCCCACGTGCCGCCGTGGCGCTCGCGGCCTGGCTCCCAGGCCGTCGGCTCACTCCAGCCTCGTCCAGGCGGCGCGAGGGGTGCGGCGGTCTGTTTCCGGGAGTCCCCGGAAGACGCTGGGTGACGCCATTTGCGAGCGTGCCAATCCCGGGCACCGGAGGGCGGGCTCTTCGGATTTGAATTCCAGCGCTGCTGCTGTCTGTCCGTGTGGAGGGAGCGAATGCCGCCGGGGAGCCGAGCGGGGCTCGTGTCGGTGTCTCCTCTGCGGTCCCGCGTGTCGTCCCTCCCCGGGCCTCCGCGGGCCTGCCGCGCAGCGGGCCCTGGGGCGCTCGGGCCCCTGGGCTGGGAGCCGAGCGGTCGCCACGGCCTCGGGCTGCTGCCTGCCCTGAGGTAGGTCCGCTCTGTTCCCTCCGTCCCACCCCCGCCCGGCGCTTCCGCGTTCGCGATCACGCCGGGTTCGCACGGACGGCCGCGCGCGGACCTGGCTGCTGGGGCGCTCTAGACATTTGCTCTCAAGTCAGAATTGTCGGGAGCCATAGCGTGTCGGTGCCCCCCCCCAACCCTTCAGCTCCGGGCCCAGCACTCCAGAGAGACTTCCGCTCACCCTTTCTTGGGATTGAATCCCAAGCTTGTTGCAGGCTTTTGTTTTGTTTCTGTTTTTCGAGACAGGGTTTCTCTGTGTAGCTTTGCTCCTTTCCTGGAACTCACTCGGTAGCCCAGGCTGGCCTCGAACTCACAGAGATCCTCCTGCCTCTGCCTCCCGAGTGCTGGGATTAAAGGCGTGCGCCACCACCGCCCGGCAATTGTTGCAGGCATCTTTAGATGTTAGAAAAATTATTTGAAAAATGGAAAGCCCCCTCGTCCGTTCCTTAAAGGAAAAAAAAAACTGTTTACAGCCAGGTGCATTTGTTGTTGATTTTTGAGGCTATAGTTTAATTGCATTTCTCCCTTCCTTTTACTCCCTGCAAACCCTCCCTTACACACACACACACACACACACACACACACCTCTTTACTCTCCTTGAAATTCAGTGGTTCCTTTTTCACCAGTAACAATTGCATGCATATATGTGTGCACATATCTATCCCTCGATATAACCTGCTGAGTCCGCGAATGTGTGTTTTCAGAGCTGATCTATTTTTGTTTTGTTGTTTGGCCATGTTTAGGGAGCATGGCAGTGATCCCTAGACACCATTACCAAAATTCTAATTTTTGTATCATTTCGTTGGGCGGTAGCTGTGCCCTCTTTGGGCTCACATCTTGGGATTGGTTCATTAACATATCCACAGCATCTTGAGGTTCATTAGCGTATTGGCGCAGCCCTGGGCTAGGCTCGCATCTGGGTGGCCTTTCTCTTTTTGCCATCATTATTTCAAGTTGCACAAAATGGCTTTTAAGCTATGTTCCTTACAATCACCTTTAGGGTTGCTTATTATTGCAATTTAAGTTTGAACCTTGGGTCGCCCAAGCTAGGCAGGCAGCAAGCATCTGCCACTGCGCTGTAGCTTCCTGTTTACCTTTTCTTTTGAAACAGGGTCTGTTGTTGACTTGGCTCCGTGCCCCCTTGGAGACCTGGAACTTTCCGACCTCCGGTCCTCCGGCTGTGCAAATAGCTAGGACTATAGGCCTGTACCTCAGGCCAACTTTTATCTGTCCTTGAAATTCCTGTGTGTTGGTACAAAAATTGGCTTGTTTCCAGCTTATTTGCAATTTTTATTTGTGAAGCAGTTCATCAGACTGAGGAACTGAGATTAGGTCACTTTGACCATACTTTGCCATTTTCCCCTGCGATTATATAGTCTCTTCATTTTTATTTATTTATTTTTTTCCGTTTTAAGATTTATTTAGCCGGGCGGTGGTGGCGCACGCCTTTAATCCCAGCACTCGGGAGGCAGAGCCAGGCGGATCTCTGTGAGTTCGAGGCCAGCCTGGACTACCAAGTGAGTTCCAGGAAAGGCACAAAGCTACACAGAGAAACCCTGTCTCGAAAAATCCAAAAAAAAAAAAATTTATTTATTATGTATACAGAAGAGGGTGCCAGATCTCATTACAGATGGTTGTGAGACACCATGTGGTTGCTGGGAATTGAACTCAGGACCTCTGGAAGAGCAGTCAGTGCTCTTAACCTCTGAGCCATCTCTACAGCCCTTCATTTTTATTTTTGAGAGTGTAGTTTTTTTTAATCGGTATTGTTAGTGGATATTACTAACTCCGATCAGTGCCCACCTGATGAATATACATCTGTTGAGTGCTAGGACTGTAGCTCAGTGGTTATATGCCTAGCATGCCTGAGGCCCTAGGTTCAATCTCTAGCAGTGCTAAAATAAGTAAATAAATGAATAAAGCATATCAATACATAGTTGAGATAAGGCTTGTGAGAAAATTACAATGGCTTTTCTGTCACAGGGCCAGATTTACAAGATAGATGTTTGTCAGCTGTTGAAAAAAATACTTCAAGTAGCAGGGTGTGGTGGTGTGCATACCTTTAGTCCCAGGACTAGGGGGCAGAATCCCTGAGTTCGAGGCCAGCATGGTCTACAGAGCAAACCCTATCTCAAAAACAAACAAACAAAAAAAACAAAACAAAAAGAAAGAGAAATAAAAAATACTTCTCTGTATTCCCCCCTATAATAAACTATTAGATAAAGTAGGATTTTGTATATGGATTTTCAAGTTGCTTATTCACTTTTTGAAAAAAAGATTTGATAGCCTTTGATCTAATTGCTTTAGTAATTATTTTTCTATGTTTTGAGACAAAGTCTGTTTTGTTTCAGCCTCCTGTTGAAAGACCCCCGAAGGTAGTCTTCCCTCTGGAGAAACCCTCGCCCAGAGATCACACCGAGACCACAAGTCAGATGCAAACAGCAAGAGGCTTTATTCAGGAACACGGGTACCCGGGGCGACACAGTCACTCCAGAGGCTCAGGAGGCTGGCGCGCCCACGGGCTGGAGTGGAGGGTTTTTATATGGTCGGGCAGCAGAAGGGCGGGTACAGAAGCAAGAAGCATGGTTTACAGGGTTCTGATTGGACGATTCATATGAGGCCAGGTTACAGGGTTCTGATTGGACAATTCATATGAGGCCAGGTTCAAACTCAGGACAGTTCGTGGTTTTTCCCCGAGCTCGACACGCCTGCTGACTTGGCTCTTATCTAGGGTACAAGTTGTTTTTCTGACCTTTTAGTTCCCTGTTCTGGGGCCAGGTGGCCGACCGCAGATACCCTGTTTGTTCCTGTGCCCATGTCCTCTAACTGAACTTTCCCCGTACTTTTCAGGCCTTGCTCAAAATGGCGTTAGGTTAAGCAAGTATGCTGGGGCCTTTCATTCCCCCATTTTCTTATCTCAGGGAATGGAATCCTCCATTCATGGGGAAGAATAGGGACGTGGCTCCATTTCCACCTGGTTGAGTCGTTGGTATTGTTGGGTCAATACCAAGGTCTGAACAGTAGAAACGCGTTCCCTGATAAATTGGACAAGTCTGTTTAGGATACAGGGCCCGAGCGTCAGAAGGAGCAATAAAATCAGAAGGGGTCCCATAAGGGTGGAGATGAGGGTGGTGAGCCAGGGGGACCTTCCGAACCATCCTTCAAACCATCCCTGCTGTTTTTCTAAGAGTTTTTGTCTTTGTTCTAATCTCTTTCTTAATTTAGCCATGCTATCTCTCACCACCCCAGTATGATCCGCATAGAAGCAACATTCTTCTTTAAGGGCGGCACATAACCCCCCCCCCCCTGCAGGAAGAGGAGGTCTAATCCCCTCCGGTTCTGCAGAACTACCTCAGACAGGGAGGTGAGTGACTTTTCCAAGGCACTCACGGATTCCTCCAGTACCTGGATATCGGTATGCATGGCAACCTGGAGTTGTCTGAACTGGTTGGTTTCCATGAGGGCAGTGGTACCTGTGCCTATTCCGGCGGCGACTCCTCCCATAGTTAATCCACCTAGTATCAGGGCCAGGGTTAGCGAGACTGGCTCTCTTTTTATACGGGGGACCCCTGTTTCATATCGGGCATAGATATCTTCAGGTGCATGGTAGACTATCTTGGGGTACAGTTCTATGAGCACACAATAATCGGCCGTGTTGGCTAGTATTGAGGGGGAGAGGCATGGTGTAAGTCCGGTGCTACAGGCCCAGTGAGTCCCGTTGGGAGCCACGAGATAGTGGGGTCCTGGAACAAGTGCCTGGGTACGATTACACAGGTGTTGGTGGGTGTAGGGTACCGTCCCCAGACATAGTCCTTGTCCTGACACCTCGGAGATTGTGAGCTTATGCTGAGGTGCCGAGGCACATCCTGACCGGGGTGAAGAAGAATTGGTGAAGCTTCCGACTACGGCCACCCCCTCATAATAGGGAGGTGTGGAGACTAGGCATAACCAGCACTCCTGAGTCCGATTTGGGTTGGTGACATTGAGGGCTGAGTAAGCGCCCTCTATAAGATTCAATAGCCGGTCTCCCGTACTGGGCCTGGGTGGCTGGAGGGTGACTGGGGTTACAGTAGCATTCGGAGCCGTGCTTGGGCGAATGGCCGAATTGGGTCGGGGGGTAGCCCTCGGGGGTGCCGGAGCGGGTGAAGAGGGGCGCTTTTGGTCAGAGAGAACCTGGTTGGGACCTATAGAGGCGGAGGGCTCCGTGATTTTAAGCCTAATCGTAAACACGACTCCCTGGTCCCGTCCCGTCATGTAAAGTCTAAGTCCCCATGTTTTACCTTTAATCCAGTCTTGTGTTATCTCCCTTCCCTTTTGAGTAAAAGATATATTCAGGGGGTTGCAGGTGAAATTTACACAGGGCCCCCCCCCCCTTCCAGTAAGTGTCATCTCTTCCTGACGTGACAGTTCCCCAACAACGTCCTTGGGTAAGGGGGCGCCATGAGTGGCTTTCTCCTTGGGTAGTCCTTTTTATCCTAATGAGGTCCCAAGTGGATGAAGGCTTCCAATAGGTATTACCAGTTGTTTCACATCCCCATGCTTTACAGAAGTAACTTTCATAACCCCCACATTGTCTAATCGTCTCTCTGTCCCTACCATCCCGGGGGCAGACGTAGAAGGATAGTTGTGACAGGGCTGCTCTGGTTTCAGGGTGACTACATCCGTATCTCCCGCCACTACATTTGCAAGTTCCCTTACCATCCTGACAGACGTTTGGTGCTCTAGGGTTCATGGGGTCAGTGGTAGGGATGTCCCAGTCCTCTGACCCTGCTACTAGTTGGCAGAGATCTGGATGCAAGTTAGGCCACCATGTAAAGGGGGTGTGAAGGGCGGTCGTTTGTCAGACCGTCTCCCCAGTTTGTGAGATAACCTGCCAAGTGAGCCTCTTAACTAGGTGCGGGCTCTCTGCCGCCCTAGTCCCCTGGGGGTAGGCAGAGATTAAGAGGAGGGGGAGGAAGAGGAGCCGCGGGCCAACCTTATTTTTAGGGGGTTTCGTGTGCGGCGCACTGTCCATGTTGACTTTCTGGATCCTGCTGGGTCGGGTTCCCTGGCAGCCTTCACATGAGAGGCGTGGACCCATGCAGCAATCCCGTCGACCTTGAGTGCAGTGGGGGTGGTCAGCAAGACAGTGTAGGGCCCCTTCCACCGTGGTTCCAGATTCTTGGTCTGGTGTCGTCGGACCCAAACGGAGTCCCCGATCTGGAAGGGGTGGGGCACCACCGGCTTGTCTAGCTGCTCCTGATAAGCCTTGGCCAGGGGCTTCCAGATCTCCCTCTGCACCAGTTGGAGGGCTTGAAGATGTGCCTCTAAAGTAGGGGTGGTGGCAAAAGATGAAATATCAGGATGGAGAAAGTTTACAACAGGAGGTGGGGCCCCGTACATGATCTCAAAAGGGGTTAGGCCGTGTGGGCCAGGAGTATTTCGGGCCCGGTAGAGAGCCAAGGGAAGTAGGAGCACCCAATCTCTAGTGCCAGTTGCAAGCGTTAATTTGGTTAAAGTCTCCTTGATTGTTCTATTAGCTCGTTCTACCTGTCCTGAGCTCTGGGGGCGGTACGCACAATGGAGTTTCCAACCAACCCCCAATAGTTTGGCCACCTTCTGACTTACCTGAGAGACGAAGGCAGGCCCGTTATCCGACCCCAATATTTGAGGCATCCCGTACCTGGGGAAGATTTCTTCCAACAGTTTCTTTGTTACCACGTTAGCCGTCTCATTCTTGGTTGGAAATGCCTCGATCCATCCGGAAAAAGTGTCCACGAAGACCAGGAGGTACCGGTACCCGTAGAGTCCGGGTTTTACTTCTGTAAAGTCTATTTCCCAATGAACACCAGGACGATGGTCTCTTTGGCGGGCCCCCTTGTTTAGATGAACCTTTCCTGCGTTGACTTGAGCACAGGCTGGGCAGGTAGAAGTTACCTGCTGGAGTACCTGATCCTGGTTCAGCAACACTGCCCAGGTGTTTTCTCTGTCCAATAGGGTCTTCATCTTGTTTTTGCTCAAATGGGTCAATGCATGGAGGAATCTCAGCATATATCGGGTATGGGAGGTTGGCATGACCATCCGGTCCCCTAGTATATATGCTTGTCTTCCTTGTTCCCAGTCCGCCCCCATTTTCTTTGCTAGCTCATGGTCTTCTGGGCTATAGGGCACAGGGTCTCTCTCAGGCTGTGGTTCTTGTATGGCCATCAACTGGCTGCTCCCTGCTGGCTGGGAAGCCACTGTTCGGGCAGTCAGATCCGCCAGCCGATTCCCTCTGGCTACCGCAGAGTCATCCTTTTGATGCCCTGGGCAGTGGACAATACTGAGTTGGAGCGGGAGGAACAGGGCCTTTAGGAGGTCTAGGATCTCTTTTTTGTTTTTGATTTCCTTACCCGCGGACGTCAGCAGGCCTCTCCGTCTGTAGATTTCTCCGTGGACATGCGCAGTGGCGAAGGCATATCTGCTGTCAGTATAAACTGTGAGCTTCTTACCTTCTGCCATCCGGAGAGCTTGGGTGAGCGCAATCAGTTCTGCACGCTGGGCCGATGTCCCGGGCGGGAGTGATGATGCCCATACCACTTCCGATTTGGTGGTTATAGCTGCCCCGGCTCTGCGTTCCCCCTCCTCCAGGAAACTGCTCCCATCTGTGTACCAGACAGCGTCTGCATCCTTAAGCGGCTGATCTGTCAGATCAGGGCGGGTGCCATGTGCTTCGGCTAGAATCTGGAGGCAGTCATGCTCCTCGGAGGGGCTAGGCAGTGGCAGCAAGGTAGCAGGGTTAAGGGAAACTGTCGGCCCAAAATTTACCCGGTCTGAGTCCAGTAGTAAGGCCTGATAGTAAGTCATTCTGGCGTTAGAAAGCCATCTGTCCGGTGGTTGTCGGACCAAGGCCTCCACTGTATGGGAGGCCAGCACAGTCAACGGCTGTCCCAGAGTCAGCTTCCCGGCATCCTTGAGTAATATGGCAATGGCTGCCACCATGCGGAGGCATGATGGCCATCCTGTAGCCACCGGGTCCAATTTCTTGGACAAGTACGCTACAGGTCTCCTCCAAGGTCCCAGTCTTTGCACCAGTACCCCTTTGGCAAAACCTGAGTTCTCATCCACAAACAGCTCAAAGGGCTTGGTTAGATCTGGCAGACCCAGAGCCGGGGCCTCGAGTAAGGCCTTCTTGATCTGTTGGAACGCTTTCTGGTGCTTCTCCTCCCATTGGAACATGGCCCCTGGTTTAGTGAGGGGGTACAATGGGGCTGCCAGTTCGGCAAAGCCAGGAATCCAAAGGCGGCAGTACCCAGCCGTACCCAGGAACTCTCGAACTTGGCGGGGGTTCCGAGGAGGGGGGATGGAGATTATCGTCTCCTTCCTTGCCCTTGTTAACCATCTTTGCCCCCCGCTCAGGGTGTAGCCCAGGTAGGTAACCTTGTCTCGGCATATTTGAGCCTTTTTGGCTGAGGCTCTATAGCCCTTTTGTCCAAGTCTGGCCAGTAAGGCTCGAGTGCCCTCCAGGCACTCGGTTCGACTCCTGGCCGCCAGGAGTAGATCATCCACGTACTGGAGCAGAGTCAGGGTTGGGTGTTCAACCCGGAATCCGGCCAGATCTGCATGTAGGGCCTCATCAAAGAGGGTTGGGCTATTTTTGAAGCCCTGAGGGAGCCGGGTCCAGGTTAATTGTCCCGAGAGCCCTTTTTCTGGGTCCCTCCATTCAAAAGCGAATAGCACTTGACTTTGAGGGTGCAGTCTCAAACAAAAGAAGGCATCCTTCAGGTCTAGCACAGTGTACCAGACGTGGGTCGGTGGGAGGGTGCTCAGAAGGTTATAGGGGTTGGGCACCGTGGGGTGTATGTCCTCCACCCGCTTATTGACCTCTCTCAAGTCCTGGACCGGCCTGTAGTCCCCTGTCCCCGGTTTCTTAACAGGCAAGAGAGGGGTGTTCCAAGGGGACTGGCAGGGCTTTAGCACCCCTTGGTCCAGGAGCCTTCGAATATGGGGCTTGATCCCCTCATGAGCTTCCCGTGACATTGGGTATTGTCTGATTGAAACGGGAGTCGCGGAGGCCTTTAGTGAGATCACCAGCGGTGGCTGATCGTGTGCCAGCCCTAAGCCCCCAGTCTCTGCCCAGGCCTGAGGAAACTCTCTCAGCCAGTTCTGTAGCTCCTCAGGTGATTTCTCCGGGGGTTCTGGCTCAAACAAACGGTATTCTTCCTCTAAACTGAGGGCAAGGATTTGTAGAGGGTCTCCTTTAGGACCCGTGACCCTCGGTCCCTTCTCATCAAAATAGATTTGTGCCTTCAATTTGGTTAATAGGTCCCGTCCTAACAGCGGATGGGGGCATTCAGGTATATGCAAAAAGGAGTGAGTTACTTGCCCTGATGCCAGTTGGACTTTTCTCTCGGCAGTCCAATAATACCTCTTGTTTCCAGTTGCCCCCTGCACCAGTGCAGAATGCCGGTAGCCTCCGGCATGGGTTAGGACTGAATGTTCGGCACCAGTATCAACCAGGAAGGTCACGGGCTGCCCCCCGATCTTGAGGGTTATCCTAGGCTCAGGGGGGGGGGGGCTCCTGGCCTCGACTCCCCTAGTCTTCCAGACTAAGGAGGTCTACGGTCTTGGGCTTGGGCCGGCGGGGTCCTTGTAGCTTCTTGGGGCACTCTCGGGCCCAGTGTCCCTTCTCCTTGCAGTAAGCACATTGATCTTTATCAAGGGGTGGCCTCCTTCACTCTCCCGACCTATCTCCCTCTCTCCGCTGTCCCTGAGACACAACGGCGGCCAAAACCTTTTTCATCTCCCTATGCTGTTTCTTGTCCCTTTCCTCTTGTTTCTGCCATCTCCTTTCCTCATGCTCCTCAGGAGTTTCTCTCTTATTGAACACTTTCTCTGCTTCCTTCAATAAGTCTGGCAAACCTAGCGCCTGTAAACCTTCCAGCCGCTGCAATTTGGTTCTGATATCTGAGCTAGACTGATAGATACATGATAGGATGACACCTGGTGCTTGCCCTGGGTCTTCTGGATCATACGGAGTGTACATCCTATAAGCCTCCTTCAGCCTCTCTAAAAATGCAGCGGGTGTTTCTTCCTTTCCCTGTATCACATTCCTTACCTGAGCCAAATTGGTAGGCCTTCTGGCGGCCGCTCGGAGACCCGCTAAGAGCAACTGGCGATAGAGACGTAGATGCTCCCTACCTTCAGGTGTATTGAAGTCCCAGTCTGGGCGGGTCAAGGGAAAAGCTGCATCGATGATATTTGGGAGTTGGGTTGGCCTCCCGTCATCGCCCGGAACCTGCTTCCGGGCCTCCAGGAAAATTCTCTGCTTCTCCTCTACTGTTAAGAGGGTCTGCAGGAGCTGCTGACAGTCGTCCCAAGTCGGCCTATGAGTCACTAGGATGGACTCAATTAGGCCGGTCAAGGCAACAGGATCCCTGGAGAAAGGGGGATTATGTTGTTTCCAATTATAGAGGTCTGAGGCTGAAAAGGGCCAGTACTGCAACTGACGATTCGGCCCCTCTCTGAGCGGGAAGGCCCTGGACTCATTAGGGGGGTCATCCCGGCGGCCGCGGAGGCGGCCGGCAATGGGGGACGGGGCTGCGTCCTCTTCTCCAGCCCCGTGGGTCCTGCGAGTCGAGGTGACTTCCGGATCTGCCACGGGCACGGCCGGGGGCGCCGCCACCGGGGCGGTGGCTGGGGCCGCTTCGGCCGGCTCTCCAGGTGGTCCGGCTTGATATGGTGGTGGGTCCTCTGTCAGGAGATCTATAAGGGGGGTATGGGGGTCTGGGGGAAGGACTGGAGGCTTAGGAGTCTCCTTGTGAGGGAGCACGGGGTAAAGGGAGGAGTCCGGGTTGGGGGGCGCAGAAGGCCCAGAGACTGGAGGGGGCTGTGGAAGGAAAGGCTTAACCCATGGAAATGGGTTCTCGACCAGTGATCTCCAGATGGCGATATATGGGACCTGGTCGGGATGCCCATAAGGGCTAGGGGCAAAAACCTTGCCCTCCACCTGTGAAATAAGAGAGAGGTTAAAAGATCCCTCTCGCGGCCAGCCGACATTCATCATGACCCATTCGGCCTCGCAGATGGTGATCCATTTCTTCTTCCTGATAATGACACCTTCATTGTTTCCTCGGGCCTTAACATCGGACCAGTGGTCCGTGGTTAGGCTCAATGGGGTGGCGACAGCCTGTCCCATGGTGGTCTCTAAATAAAGAAGGGTTAAACACACAGCGAGAAACAAACAGACAAGACAGACCACAGAATTTCGCGCTGCGCGGCTCCGGCGTAAAACCGAAAGCAAAAACTAAGATGGGGACGCGGAGTGTTTGAATTCTCCGTCCCCTGCCAGTACCACGTATCCTTCTGATGCGTGGGTGGCCCCGAAAAACTGTGCCCCAGAGGGGACTTCAGATACCTGTGGAACGTCTTCCAGGGTTTCTGTGGGCGAAGTCCGAGCTCGTCAGCTCCTTCAGCCCCCACCGACTCAGACCTGACTTAGGACGCCCGACAAAAACGAAAGACAAGTAAACAGACTGAGACAATACAGACAGACAGTGGCCGGCCAACTTACCTCCTGACAGTGGGTCGGTGGTCCCGAGGCGGGGGTCTCCGATCCCGGACGAGCCCCCAAATGAAAGACCCCCGATCTTAGTCTTCCCTCTGGAGAGACCCTCGCCCAGAGATCACACCGAGACCACAAGTCAGATGCAAACAGCAAGAGGCTTTATTCAGGAACACGGGTACCCGGGGCGACACAGTCACTCCAGAGGCTCAGGAGGCTGGCGCGCCCACGGGCTGGAGTGGAGGGTTTTTATATGGTCGGGCAGCAGAAGGGCGGGTACAGAAGCAAGAAGCATGGTTTACAGGGTTCTGATTGGACGATTCATATGAGGCCAGGTTACAGGGTTCTGATTGGACGGTTCATATGAGGCCAGGTTCAAACTCAGGACAGTTCGTGGTTTTTCCCCGAGCTCGACACGCCTGCTGACTTGGCTCTTATCTAGGGTACAAGTTGTTTTTCTGACCTTTTAGTTCCCTGTTCTGGGGCCAGGTAGCCGACCGCAGATACCCTGTTTGTTCCTGTGCCCATGTCCTCTAACTGAACTTTCCCCGTACTTTTCAGGCCTTGCTCAAAATGGCGTTAGGTTAAGCAAGTATGCTGGGGCCTTTCACTGTGAATGCTAGAACATGGGTGTGTGCCACCATGCCCCATATGTATTAATATTTTCCATGATAGGTCTTTTCCATTTAGATGTAAAAAGTTATTAGAATGGTTATAAATTCAGTAGTAAGAGATGCTATAATCTTGATTAGTAAATTCCAGGCACCTAGTATTGAAATACTAATTTTCTAATTATTAATACAGTGTTTGGTTCTATACTTGGAATTTTATTTCTAGTTATGGAAAATACAATTTACATGTAAGAAAAAAGCCAGGTGTGGTAATACGAGCTTGTAATCCCAGCACTAAGATGGCTAAGGCAAGAAGATTTCAAGGTTAATGCCAGCCTGGAGTATAAAGCAAGAAAGAAAAAAACAAGTTTAAAATTATACATATTTATTTATTTATTTATTTATTTATTTATTTATTTATTTATTTTTTTGGTTTTTCGAGACAGGGTTTCTCTGTGTAGCTTTGCGCCTTTCCTGGAACTCGCTTTGGAGACCAGGCTGGCCTCGAACTCACAGAGATCCGCCTGGCTCTGCCTCCCGAGTGCTAGGATTAAAGGCGTGCGCCACCACCGCCCGGCTAAATTATACATATTTAAATAGATAATTTTCTCCAAAAATTCTAAATGGCAATACATTTAAAGAATTACAATAAATTCAAATTCGTTCTTTATTTGAAGTTTTTGACTAAAATCTTATAATTTAAATATTCTGTAGCATAATAGAGCCAGATATTTAAATAATTAAATGGGTATATCAGCATTCATTAGGATCATTGTAGCTGGTGCCTTAAAAATTTTAAGTGCATAAAGGGAAGTACATTTGTTAACTTACTTTTTTGTAGCCTAATGTAGTACCTAATGCAGATGTCATTTTTGTTTAATGCAAATACTACTTGGAACCTTAAAGACTTGATGTCTGAATAAATTTCATTGCTGCAGTAGAATGCTTGTATAGCATGTTCAAGGTCCTGGGTTTGATTTCTAGCTAGCATCAGAATCAAAAATATATAGGAAACCTGATCCTGGGTGGCTCTAAAACCCCTTTAAAAAGCACATTCCCATAGCTATCAGGTAAATTTAAAAAACATATGTTTATAAGTCAGAACTTAGAGATATTAACTAAGTTATTTGTTGAATGGTGCCTTTTCTTTTTTTTCCGGAAAGTAGGCAGTTTTGAATGCCAAACTGCTTTTTTCTTGAAAAATGGTGAAAACTGTAATTTAACAAAAATGTTAAATATTAGTCTGAGTTGTGGTCTTTATGTTATTTAGTGTTGATAAGAACCAATTAAACCTTTTTAATGGTATACTGTTATGGAAAATTGGTAAATTTAAAAATCACCAAACAGTGATACAAGTTGATTTTATTACAGGTTTCTCTGGACTCCTGTTCTGCCCAAAAACTTGTGTTGATTGAATTTTCTATAAGAAGAATTTTTTTGCCACTGTCTTATCAAGATGATTTCAACACCTTTAAAACATTCAGGAATTCATTTGTCTTCTGGGACATCTCAAAGAAGAAATCTACCTGTAGATGCAGTCTTTATTGACAGCATTCCTTCGGGCACACTTACTCCTGTAAAAGATTTGGTGAAATATCAGAAGTCCTCTCTAAAACTGAATGGTCATAAAAAGAATCAGTTATCAGAAACGGCAACTTGTAACAATAAAAATAGGTTTCAGTCCACCATGCTATCAGAGGCTGCCCCTTCAAACAGCTCTCTTGATGTCAGTGCTATCGGGCCCAGTGTGAATGGATTAAGAAACGAAAAGATCTATGAAACACCTGGAAAAATCTTTCAAAGAATGAAAGAAAAAGTGCAGCGTGACAAAGAAGAACAAGCATCAAGGAGCAGTGACCTGTTAGGATCACCAAAATGTGAACGTAATAAAGTCTGCACTTCTAACCGAGATAAGAAAATTCAGTTACAACAAACCTACCTCTGTGAGGAAAAAGAAAAATCGTTCCAATTCAATAATACTCTATTAGGAGGTTAGTTTATGCATGGATTTAAGAAAAAACTACAGTGTCTTTTTAATTGTTGAATGTGTCAGACCCTTTTAAGTTCTTGGGATATCATAATGAAGAGAGTACCAAAATGTCTGCTCACATTCTGGAGAACTTTAAAAGTAATTTTTATGGTACAACAGAAGAGAAAAAACAGAAAAGGGGGAAAAAAAAAGGAACCAGGCATAGTGGCAAATTCCAGCAAAATCCAGCACCGAAGAGGCTATCAGGAGCATTGTTTTTTGTTCAGTACTAACCTGGACTACTGGGCTATGTAGTGGGACCTTGTCTCAAGAAACAACAATGAAAAGTGTAGTAAAGACGATAGCTATAAGTGAAAGGTGTGCTGTGGTCAGAGTAGGCTTCAGTGAGATGATGAGATTTTAGGTGCCAAAGTTTGTGAGGGAATGGTTGTATATTCGAACAACTAACCTAACCTAAATTCAGAGACTAGCTGTGAGTTTAGTGCATCATGAGTGAAGAGGCACCTCAAGAGGATTTAGAGATAAGAGAGTCAGTTAACAGAGGATTTTCACTGAGGAAAATAAGCCTGAGTTACACAGAAACCATCAAGAGAGAGAAAGTTGGGAGGGAGGGGGAAGGGAAAGAAAGAATATGTCTTATGATAGGGATAATTGTTGATTATCAGTGTTCTGGAAAAGTAGAAGTGGTAAGAAATGAAAAATGGAATTCCTTCCTTCCTTCCTTATACTGGGGATTAAGTCTGCAGCCTCAAGTATGTTATGTAAGCACTGTCACTAGCCTGGTGGAGGTTTTGTTTTTGACAAGGTCTTGCTATGTAACCCAGGCTAACCTGAACTTGAGAGATTCTTGTTTTAGTCTTTAAGTGCTAAATTGCAGGTATGTGCTACCAGGCCTAACAGATATAAGAGAATTTGGGGTACGGGTCAAAGAGTACACAAAACAATGCTTCTTATATGAAGTAGGAGGGTAAAAAGGAACAAATGAAGCGATGCAGGATGTGTATATATATATACATGTATATGTATATATATCATGTGTATGTGTATACACTCGTGTGTGGTGTGTGTGTGTGTATGCATACATGTATGTGTGTGAGTACGTGAGTCAGAGATAGGCTTTGAGAGCAGATGAAGTTCTTGTCTAGATTCTGATGACTCTTTGTCCAAATGTACACACATAAAAAATGATCTTTTTGTTCTCTGGCACAAATTTTAAGTATTACCCTTTTATGTATGAAAAAAAGTTTGCTTCTATATTCAAAATGCATTACATGTTAAGATTTAAAATATAAATCAGAATAAATTGGAAATAGCACTACTAGTCCATATTTGTCTGATTGACAAAATTTCATTTCTTTGAAGGCCTAAAAATTTTGTCAAGAACTGGGTGTGGTGATATATTCCTGCAATCCCAGTATTCATGAGGCTTTTAGACTTGAGGTCAATTTAGACTCTATGAGACCCTACCACAATAGAAAACGTCAAAAGGATTTGCAATCCGGTCTTGATATTTTGAATTTTAAATGGTAGGTTAGAGCCTCTTAATTGTTCATGTCCTTCCTTAGTCAGGACCACTTAAGAAGGACCTGCATAGGGCCTTGGCGACGTCTGGTACACAGTAGTCTGAAATGTGCTGCTAATCCAGAATTTGAGTAAAGACTGCCCAGATAGCTCCCTTGGCTATCTGTGCACCCCAGTATTTGGTGCTGCTTGTACAAGGAGGAATGCTGGCCAAAGACTGCTTACCAAAGGCTTAATAGTATGCTTTTGTCTTGAAAAGGCAAATTGTAATTTGGAGATAATTGATTTTTCCCCCTCAGCATAATGTAAGTATAGCGAGTGGAGGCAAAAGGAAGAAATGGGAAAGGGAAATTTATTTATTATGAAAGCACACTCTACTGGTCTGATTACTTACTCAAAATGCCTTCCAAATTTTTTATTTTCTCTCTTATTTTTTGTCTGTCTGTCTGTCTGTCTCTCTAATTGCCAACCTACAAGTTGTTCCTCTGGAATCATCAGACATCATTTCTACTGTCTTAGTCATTGTTCTATTGCTGTGAAAAGACACCATGACCATAGCAACTGTTATAAAAGAAAGCATTTAATTGGGAGCTTGCTTACAGTGTCAGGGCTTAGTCCATTATCATCCTGGCGCAGGCAGAGTGGGACATTCTTATTCAAACCACCACACCCACACTTCTTCCAACAAGGCGTACCTTCTAATCCTTTCAAATAGTGCCTCTCCCTGATAACTAAACATTTAACTATATGAGCTTCTGGGGAGTAAGGGACATTCTTATTCAAATCAAATCACACCCACAAACAAAAGATTCAACACCAGCAGGAAAAGAAAGCAGAAAGGCACAATTTAAGTGATGGTAAACTCTTGTGGTAATTGTTTTATATGTTTACAGTTACCAATTTTGTTTTTTGTTGTTGTTCTGTTTTTTTTTGAGTTTTTTTTTTTTTTTTTTTTTTTTTTACTTCAAAGTATTGTTAAATGTTTAAATGTTCTAGGTAGTTCCCAGTGGGCAGTAAGAACTAACTCTGAACCTTGAGTTATTATGTGTGGTGACGCATGCCTTTAATCTCAGCCCTCAGGAAGCAGAAGTAGGTTTGATGCTAGGCTGGTCTGCATATCGAGTTCAGGATAACTACATAGAAAGACTCTGTCTTGAAAAAACAAAACAAGCCGGGTGGTGGTGGTGGTGACTCACACCTTTAATCCCAGCACTTGGGAGGCAGAGGCAGGCAGATCTCTGAGTTTGAGGCCAATCTGGACTACATAGTTCCAGGACAGCCAGGACTCTTAGAGAAGCCCTGTCTTGAAAACACCAAACCAAACAAAAACTAGAGATACTTAGGTTGAGGCCAGTCTGATGTATTTTTAATATGAGTAGATTTAAAACAACTTTTATTTCCATGGGACTTTTCCATAAATTTTTTTTTGTTTTTTTTGGCAGAGCTTCCAATTCTGAACCAAGAACAAGGAAATGTTTCAGCTTCAGGCATCTCAAGCAAGGCATTAACTAGAGCTCAGTTTGCTAGACAAGTTCTTCATTTGAAAGAAAATACTGTTAAAACCACTGTATCCAATAAGGACACATTTGTTTTGGAAGGTGGTAATTCTGCTTATAAACAGTTTGAAAATAGTAATGTTACGGCCGTTAGTACTAATTGTGTTCCTGTTAAGCATCATAGTCAGTTGATGACTTCTGATAATGATATGACAACAGAAGGAACTGAGAACGAGGATATTACAGAACAAAATGAAAAAACGGGTTCTAGAAGGACTGTTCTTCAAGATTCCATGAAAGATACATGTAAAGTTATACCTGCAATTCCAAGACTTAATCTAACAATACCTGGCCGGTCTCAAAGAAAGGTTGCAAAGCTTGACATGATTGTAAGTGAAGTCAAAAAATACCAGGTAGGAAGACATTTATTTCTGTTTCTAATAGCCCCTTATCTAAACTCTTGTTATGGTTTCTTGTTTTATTGTTGACTGTAGTAACTATAAGCCTAGTGAAAAGATGTATGGGCTGAAAGTAAGGTGACTCAGTCATCAATTCTTGTCTTTCACTATTACTAGTTGTAAATTTCAACAATTCACTTATGGTGTAAGATATGAATGCTGACGTTGCTCCTACTTCCATTTTTCTGACTTTTGAGGTATTATTAACAACATTTGAAAAGAAAAGAATTTTTTAACACCTAAGGAGTCAAGAAGTTTTGGGCTGGAGAGATGGCTCAGAGGTTAAAAGCACTGACTGTTCTTCCTGAGGTCCTGAGTTCAATCCCAGCAACTACATGGTGGCTCATAATCATCTATAGTGAGATCTGGTGCCCTCTTATGGCATGAAGGCAGAACACCATATACATATGAATAAATAAATTTTTTTTAAAAAATTTAAAAAGTTGAAAATTTTCTTGATACAAAGTTACATAGGATGATCAGTAAAAAATACTTTAAGCATCAAACTATGTTACATTAAGATACATTTTTGATGGAAATATAATGTCAGTTCAAGAAGAAATGTAAGCATGTATAAACCCAAGGCTTGATCTTCCAGCACTGAAAAAAGGAAAAGGACAATGTTAAAAGAATGTTCCTTAAGTTTTAGATGATAGAGGCTATCAAATTATGGTGGTATTTAATTCTATCTTAATTTTAAAAATGAAGTAGTTGTAGTTTTATATCTCAGTGTATTTGCTACAAATTGTATCGTTTACAAATACTTAAATGTAATGATGAAAAATTTAGATATTGACTTAAAATGTATGAAGAAAATTTGAAAAAAAATATTCTAAGATTTCCTAGTATTTCTTCATCTCTACCATGCTGTTTATACCAGTTACCATAAGAAGTTCAAGCTTTCCAGGACTCATATCCATGGACAGTTCTGTACATTTCCTAACTTTGACCTACTCTCTCACTCATCCTAAGTTCTTCATTATATTGTGTCCTCTTCAACTTGAGATACATGTAACACAGGTAACAGAATCAGTATTCTATGTTGATTCTATGAACATTTTTTAACTTGCTCTAGCTGAAATGGGCATTGTACAACCTCCTTGATTTCTTTTTCTTTCTTTTTTTGTTTTGTTGTTGTTGTGTGTTTGTTTTTTAGTTTTTTGGGTTTTTTTTTGAAGACAGGGTTTCTCTGTATTAACAGTCCTGGCTGTCCTGAAACTCCCTCTGTAGACCAGGCTGGCCTCAAACTCGCAGAGATCCTGCCTCTGCCTCCTCAGTGCTAGGATTAAAGGTGTGTCCAACCACCCAACGATTTCTTTTTTAATGATCCCTCTTCTACCTTTATCGTCTACTTAAGCCCTACTAATGTCTCATTATTGCTAACACATGTACCAGATTCTCAATGCAGATGCATCTCATGTTATTATCATTCCCCCTTCACTAATCTTTATATCTACCTTATGCTCAATATTCTGATGCCACTAAGACAGCCGTTAGTTATTACATTCACATATTCTCATTACTCTTTTCATCCCATGCAGATTTCTGTGGTCCATCATTACAGCTATTATATGTTAACTCTGAACTCTAGTTTTCCAGTAACTTGTAGTTACGGAAGAAAAACTTGTGCCTTTACTCTACTTTACCATTTTCTACATCATTGGTCATGGAGTGAAGTCTCCCAACTTACCTTATGTTCCTTCTTACTTACCCCTTTCAAGGAATTATGCTTTTCCTGCTGCCCATTTAGGGCTTTTTTAACTTGTTCTTTGATTAGAAAAGTCTTACAAATCATGTGGCTTGTACTTTATTTTATTCAGTTCTCTGCTCCAAGACCTTTCTTAACTATCTGTCTTAAGCACTCCTGTATGCCTCTTTTATCCATAGCAACTATGTATATATGTGTTTGAGTACTATCTCCTTTCTTCCTGCTTCTACTCCCTCCCAGTGTGCTCTTACACACAGGCAGTGTTTACTATGTAATAGCTTCCAGTTTATTTCTTGTTGAATCCCCAGTGTGTAGAACAGTGCCTGCCTATAGCTCAAATGTTTGATGACAGCACGTTTTAAATAAGAAGTGTAGCACAAGATTCTAGAATTTGCATTGTAACCCATCAATTCCACTAGTCATATATTATAGAAAAATTATTTATATATATTTTACAATTTCTTTTTCTGCAAAATGGAGATGGTGCTTGCTTCCTACAATTATAAAGATAACATGAACTAGTGAATCTAAGGCACACCAAGGAATACTTTCTCATATTTCCTCTTGCCTGCTGGTATATCTAAATGTAGTAAAAATAGTATTAATCCTAGTCTTCTAACCTTTTTGTTTTAATTTTGGAGAACAAACTTGGGGACTTGTGCTATACCACTGAGCTACATGCCCAAATACCTATATTTTAAAAGAATTATTAAGAAATGCAATACCAAAGACCATCTGTCCATTTTAGCATGTTTTCCTGGTTCAGTTTAAAGTCACTGGTGAATATATATAATGGCACTTATTAGTTATTCTGTTAATTTTGGCTTTAGTTCTGTTCAGAAATACTGTAATTGTTTGTTATTGTTATGAACTATAAATGGTTTTATTATCAGTGTTCATAGAAAATTTTATATTTTCATGACATTTTACTTATACTAAAATCATTTTCTGAGCTATTCAGCTGTTTACTTTGGAATAGAATGGTATTGAATGTTTATTACCAACTGTGACCTTTATGGTATATAGAAACTGAAAATGTAGCTCTAAATCAGCTTAACAAAAATATACTGTTAATTTCTTTGGAAACAAGGTATATAATACATTTGAGGGTTTTGTTGTTGTTGTTTTGTACCCTTGAAGTTGCTATGTTTTCTAAAAGATTTTGGTAGTTCAATGTATATGTTACGATTCTCCTCCCCCCTATGGCTAAGCCATTTTGTATGAGTATTTGAAATGTAGACCTTTCTATATTATAGGCAAACAATACAGTACAACCTCAGATAAGTGTCTATTCTTTTTCGGTCATTCAGTACAGTAGTTTTAAGAATTGCTGTTCAAAGTGGGCTGGTTCTCAGATGGGTACTAAAAAAACTAGGATTACTTACGGTTTTTCTTGTAGTTCAGATTTTCTAGTGTTTAATGCTAATTTTATAATTCTGCATGCAAGTAACACAAGAAATGTGTTCTTTGTTTTATGTTTGATTAGGTAGTCCAGCTACAGGAATGGATGATTAAAGTTATCAATAATAATACAGCTATATGTGTAGAAGGAAAGCTGGTGTAAGTATAATATTTAAGTGTTCTTTTTTTTTTTTTTTTTTTTTTTAATTTTTGGTTTTTCAAGATAGGGTTTCTCTGTGTAGCTTTGCACCTTTCCTGGATCTCACTCTCTAGACCAGGCTGGCCTCGAACTCAAAAAGATCCCCCTGCCTCTGCCTCCCGAGTGCTGGGATTAAAGGTGTGTGCCACCACTGCCCGGCTTAAGTGTTCTTTTATTAACATTTAAGGTGGTTTTATGTAAGTGATCAGTGATAAATAGCATCTTCCTACAAAACACATTCTTAGGAGGTTATAAACTGAAGGTAAAAGCAAAACATAATGCCAACCCCTTGCTAAAGTTGTCTGATATAAATTACTGATCCATCAAAGGATCAAAATTATCTAAAGCTGTCAAGTAGTTACATATGAAGTAATTGACACTTTTGGTTCTCCCAGAAGTGAAAGCATTGTCAGACGAGTAGACGAACTTAGCTACTCTGTTCTACATTTGAGAACCGGTTTCCCCGTAGTAAAACACTTGTGGTAAAAACAGTATAAAGTATCCTGGTTTCTAAGGTTGAATATGTAAAGTTGTCTAGTGGTCTATCTTACTGCCTTATCCCCTTTTCCATAATGTTCAAGATTAAACATTTGCCTTTGTGCATCCAATTAATGCTGCTTACTGCCAATGTTACTTGAACAAGTTACTTACACTCTGTGAGGCTCAATTTCTTCATTGGTACAATGGTAATAATAATATGACCAATACTGTGGGAAGACTTTTGTTTTGAAAGAATCTCATGTATCCCAGATTGGCCTTACACTACTATGTACTTGAGGATGACTTTCAATTTATGCTTAGTGCTCAGCTTTGTTGCAGATAGTGTCAAGAATTAAATGAGTTAATATTTGCAGTATTAAAGAGCAGTGTCTTTTAGAGTTTGATTTAAATGTTAAATAAAGCTGCAGGCTGTGGTGGTACATACCTTTTATCCCTATACTCCAGAGGCAGAGGCAGGTGACTCTGAGTTTGAGGCTAGCCTGGTCTACATAGTTCCAGGACAGCCAGGGCCATGTAGAGAGACCATGTCTCAACAACAGCAAGACAAAACAAAAAAACCATATATACACAGAAATCAAAAAAATATATTAAATAAAACATAAAAGAATCAAAGGTAAGTATTAAGGTATGTGTTTAATCCCATTTGATTTAGTTGAGAGAACGTCCTTATAACTCAGGTATATGTATGTTTATTATCTATTGAATGAAGAATGTTCAGCACTTATCTAATACACCTTCATATTTGGTTCTAATTTTATATTTATTGTTAGTTTCATTTAAAGAAGTATGAAGAGTAGATTTCTGGGTCAGTGATTTGCAACTTTATTTTTTTTCTCAACTAGAACCTCCTTACAAAATGAAGGTAAAAGCATTTGCCTTTATTTATTTATGGTTAAGAAAAGACAAAACCCCTCAAAATTTATAGTTAAGAAAAGACAAAACCCCTCAAAATTGCATGGATCTACTTAACATTTCAGAACATGGAGCAGGAGGGTGGTAGGGAGTGGGAGTGCATGTTAATCTATAATCTCAGGTACTTTGAGGATGTAAAAGTCGAAGGCTATCTTGGGTAACATAGTAAGACCCAGGAGCCAGCAAGATGGCTCAGAGGGCAAAGGTACTTGCTGCCAGGTTGTACAATTTAGTTTGATCCCTTGGACCCAGTTGTTGGAAGTAAAGAACTGATTCCCAGAAGCTGTCTCTTGACTCCATATGAATTCCATGGCATACACAAACTAAATAAATAAAAATATGAAGAAAACAGCAAGACTCCATCTGAATAAATAAAAATACATTTCTGGAGGGGAAAAAAAAAGCCAACATAGTATAAAAATGTCAGGATAAGGGTTGCCAAAATTCTTTGAAAGCTTAGCAACTGTTAAGCTGAAGTTTCAGTTATTGCCAGCAGCAAATATTTGATGATAATTGGTTTCTGTTTCCTTGCTAATGCTATATTTTATATTAGATACATAGATTGATTGACCACAATATAGTTCTTGGCATATACTCCGAGGATTACATTAGCCAAGCAGTTGAGTTCTGTACTGGTTAGCCCTCAAGTGTTTTACAGTTAGAGTAGTAATGCTGTTGTTGTAGTAGCTAAAAGTACAAAATTAGTACTTTTTGAAGGGTGGCATTCATCTCACTATGAGGCCCTAGTTGTCATGGCCTCAAACTTGGAACAATCTTCCTGCTTTTACCTACCAAGTGCTAGGATTATATATACCTGGCTCAAAATCAGTACTTTATTATAAATTTGTATGCTTCTATATGTATATAAAGCTCTTGGTAAAGTGTAAATACGGTGTCCTTACTAAGCTTATCCTTTTTTCCCTAGAGATATGACTGATGTTTATTGGCATAGTAATGTAATTGTAGAGCGGATTAAACACAATGAACTTCGGACATTATCAGGCAACATTTATATATTAAAAGGATTGATAGACCAGATTTCCATGAAAGAAGCAGGTAAATGGGTATCATTATTAGTTAAATCATTGCATAGTTTCTCCTTTTTCTTAAATAAATGCCCAGGCTCATATATCGCCCCTAACCCTTGTAATGACCCATAACACCCCACTACCTTTATTACCCCTTTGAGTAAACATCTAGTGCTGACTCCATGTGGCAGTTTAGCTTTGCTAGTCTCATTTCACAAACAGACCAGCTGTTACCTTGTCAGAGACATTTCATTTTCCTATTTCTAATATTCTGACTCCATATTGCCACATGACTCACTCCCTCACGTTCCTAGAACTTGTCTTCCTATTGCAGTAGAATCTCCTGACTTCCCCTTTTTCAGTTCTGTTCTCTCCTTTTCTCCCATGAAAATGCTTGACCACTTTTCCTGTAACTCCTGGCTTGGCTTTCTCTTGCACACTAGACATCAACTGTGTAGTGGCGGAATTTTTACTTGCTTAACTGATGGGTCCTCAGTATCTCCAGCAGTGCTTAGCATATAGTAAAACAAGTATGCATTTCTTGACGGACAGTCAGCTAGAGATGCCACTTTAAAATAATAGGCTTTTGGATCACTTTTTTCTTTCTTTTTTAAATTAAAAAATTATCTATTTATTTTGCTTATTGTTAAATAGGATATCCCTGTTATCTCATAAGAAAATTTATGTTTGGATTCCCCCGAAATTGGAAGGAACACATTGATAATTTTCTAGAACAATTAAGGTAAAGTGTCCTTAACGTTTTTTTTAAATCGGCTTTATCAAGGTATAAGTTATGTTCCCTAAAATGTACTCACTTTAGATACAGAATATAATGATCCTTTTCAGATGTATATGCTTCTGTAACCAATGTAAAGTGGTTTTTAGTTTGTTGGCTTTTTGTGTTTATGTGCTAATTTTGAAGGGTTTTTTTTTGTGATCTTAGGTGTTTTAGAAATAATAATGTTTTATTAGAATTTCTGTCATGTTGAGTAAGTTAAAAATAAAAGCTTAGCCATATTTCAAGGAGAATTCTTCAATCACCTACTCTTTAAATGGCATTTAGTTGTCAAATATTGGTCTGAACTTCTTGATTGATTTTTTTTTCCATTAATATTCAGTCGTTTTTGAGTGTCACCTGCCGGGTACTCAGCAGCCATTAAGAGAAAAATATTTATTAATTCTTGTTCTTCGAGAACCAGTAGAAGATACAGAGCTTTAAATTTTATTCAAGCACAAGTAACTCAGTATAGGAAATGGTGGCTGTTTTTCCTATAAAGTGCCAGATGGTATTTTTCTGGGCATGATACTTCTTTTCTCAACCACTCAACTCTGTCTTTGCAACAGAAAAGCAGCTAGAGGTAGTATAAATTGAATGAGCATGGCTATGTTTCAGTAAACAGTATTTACCAAAATAAGCAACTGCCCAGTAGTGTTTTTAATCCTGGCCTCACACTTGCTAGGTAAGTGCTCTACCACTGGTAGCTCTTTCTCCTATAGTTTTTTTAAATTCGCTTAAATAGTTGTTCTTTGTTTTTTAAATGCTCGTTTGTTTTGAGAAGGTTCACATGTAAGGGGTTATCCTCAGTGTGTAGCCCAGACTGCCCTTGAACTCCTTGATCATCCTGTTGTTTGTGGGTTGAGCTTTTCAGTTCTTTTGAGAACCAATATTAGAGAGAAAAAATAACACAATTGTTTTAGGGCTGAAGAAAAGAACAGAAATAAGACCAGACAGAAAACTGCAAGACATGAGAAACAAAAATCAATGAAAAATTATGTAGAAGATAAACAAACTGATGTTCTCCAAAAGGCCAGTGTCACTTACGACCTTATTGATGATAGCTTGGGTATGTTTGAATTTTTCTTTGTTGCTACAGTGATAGTCTTACATAAGCTAACACTGTTTGTTGTATCTAATGTATAGTGTGGTGCTCTTTGACTAACTAGTACCTTGAAATTCTTGCTTCTTCACTCTACAGACTGCTGTGCATCATTATTCCTTTGATTTCATGGGATAAACCTTTAATCACAATGCCGAAATTCCAATAAGTAGATCAATAAAAGGTTATATTTAGGCTACCAGCAATCATGTAGTAGAGACAAGTATCTATATTTGTGCAGGAACTGGCCTATATTCTTGACTGGCAAGTGCTATAAAGGTAGTTGGCAGAACTGTTCTATGTCAGCTCTTGTCTAACATGCTCTACATCTAACACCATCCCACTCTCACAAATAATGTCTGAAGATTAACTTATAGTTCCCTCAATTAAATAGATGGTAAAAGTTACTGAGTCTGTTGTGCACATTTCTTGGAATTTTACCTTAACTTTAGCTAAGAGCTATACACAGTTTTAAAACTTCCGAGAATTGGAGATTATTTTTGCTAAAAGTATGGTATGGTGTCGTGTTAGATGTAAATATACTACATCTCACTCTAATGTTGTTAGGTCATTTGAACTCCCTTTCTTGAAATTTTCTATATCTTTTTTTAGTTCAGAGAAAGCAATAATTTAAATATGTAAATGATTGCAAAAATTTCACTTACCAAAGCTTTAAATCTTTCTCAACCCTTCCTTTATACAAAAGTCATTCAGGTTTCTTAAAATTGGCAGGTTGACTATTACTAGAACATTTTGAGTCTTCTGAAGTCTTGGGACTATATTACTTGTGATTGCCCAACCCACTCCCCTTTTTTTAACTCCTAAATGAAAAATAATTCTGAGTCACTTTTTTTAGGAAAGAGAGCTGAATTGTAAATACGATTGTTGCAAATGCTATAGAAAACATGTGGCAAGTGGGGTGGCATACAAATTTAAAAGACCGAAGTTTGGTAAACAGTTTACCCTGCAGTCTGTCCACCTGTGAAGAACCAGACACCTTTAAAGCATCTATGGACCCTGCTTCATGTTAGAAATTTAGGGATGGTTATGGCTTCTCTTTTAACAAATGCAGTTTAAGGGCACATACTATGATATTATGATTGAATCATTTTTCTAAGATGATATGTTTTAGTGGAACTTTTAGATGTTAATTATGAAGTGTTAGTAAGTAATTATCTTCTTTCACAAATCATTTTGATTGATGATGCTTTATTTTCTTATTGGTTGTTTTTGTTGTTGCCAATATATCATTACATTTTCTATGAGAAAATAATGAAAAACCATGGTTGGAGAGGTGGCTCAGTGGCTAAGAGCATGAACTGCTCTTGCTGAGAACCTAAGTTCACTTCCCAGCACCCACAACAAGCAGCTCACTGCTGCCTGTATTTCCAGCTCCAGGGAATCCAATATCCCCTCCTGGCCTCCGGAGCCATTGCTTGTGCATAAACCCCCACACAGACACACAGACACAGACACATAGACAGACACACACACACACACACACACACACACACACACACACACACACACACATAACTAAAAATTACATGAAAAAAAAAACCACTTAACTCTGCCTGACATTAAACAACTAAGGTTATATAAATGTTCCAACCCATGATAGTTTAAGATGACATGATTATTTTAATTATCTAATGTAATTTTTCATATTTAGTGTTATAACTATTACATCATAGTATTGTAGTTTAAAAAACTCTTTAAACACTTACATAAGCATGTTATGAAGGACTACTATAGTATCAGCTTCCTATACTATACAGTAATCTCAGGGGTTAGGGCCATCCTTGTGTATCTTTATAGTTTCTAAAAGAGTAACAAAATACCTTTCAGGCCAGATGCTCTGGCACATACCTGTAATCCCAGCAATTAGGAGAACGAATCGGGAACATCTGGAATTCAAGGTCATTCTGGTCTGTAGTACAAAATCCAGTCAGAAAAGCAATAATAGCAACTAAAACAAAAGTCCTCATTTTAAGTAATTAATTTTTGAATTAGTGTTTGTGTGTAGGTGCCCATGAGCCACAGCATTCCTATGGAGGAAAAAAATAGAAATTCTCCACAAAATAATTTAAAACTTGATTTTGCTAAAAATAATGTGGATTCAGTTATACATTGAAGTATATAAATTAACTGAAACATAATTTCATACACAAAAAGAATAAGAAAAACAATCACTAACTTTCTATTTAGTAGATGTGCAGTTTGGATGTATAGGATATATAAATTCACAAAATTAATTAACTACACTATTCTGTGTTTAGATATGATAAGAGGTTCAAAGCAGGTATAAACAATATGATTGTTCATTTTTAATTTTTTTTAGGAAAATAAAAGTAATTTGAACTAAGCCATAACCTATTGAGAGTGGACTGTCCTACCAAAAAAAATTTATTATAAATCAAATTACAGTGAATATACATGACATTTCATTATGCAGAGTTTTCTTCCCATAGTTAGCTCTTTAATGTGGAAAAGCAACTTATCTTCTTATCCTCCTTCCATTTTTCTTTCCCTCCCTTCGCCCTCTCTCTTTCTCACTCTTTTTTCTTCCTTTTTCTTCTGTCTTTCCCTCCCTCCTTTCCCTGAGACAGCCTTTTTTATGTTGGCAGCATTCATTTTAGTGTCCAGGGTGATACGAATACAGGCATAGAACACCATGATCTGCTGAAAAAAACACCGAATCTTTTATGTAATTACTTAATGCTCCACCTTTGAATTCACAGAAATGAAGAAAAATAAGCACAATGGGTTGCCAGGAACTGCAGAAATAAACACTGGATATAGTAATTGTCTAAATAAGCCACAGTTAAGGCTCCTACATAACCAAGTAAGTCATACTACTCAAATAGTGGCATCTATGACTTCGTCAGTTAGGTCAGGTACTGATGCTTAGGGACATAATGTACCTGAAAAGTTTCAGGACTGCATCAAAAGATATAATTTCTTTTTGATAAGTATCATTTATATTGGTCAGTCCTAACTCAGAAACTGCAAAAGTCAAAAGGAATCTATTTGAGATGTTTTTGTTTTTTTGTTTTGTTTTGTTTTGTTTTCTCTATTTGAGATCTTAAGAACTGCAAGAATTGTTTCAGGAAAACAGACTCAGGTTATCTTTAAGTCAGTGTTTAAGAGAAGGTTAGAAAAGGAAAAGCTTACATTGAGAGTAAAAACTTTTTTGAGGGACCTGCTGTTGAAGTTAAACAGGTGTTTGTGACAAGGACTATGTCTAATAAATGATAAAGAACAAAAAAACGTAGGGATGGGATGTACTTCCATTGGTAGAGTATTTGTGATGTGTAAGAGATACACCCTTGGTTTGATCCCAGTACTCCTCAATCTTTTAAGTATAGAGCTTGCAAAAATGCCTACCAGATAAAGTTTATGTAACTTTTTTATTCATCTTAAATGTCTGGATACGATGGAATTATGTGTTATAGCTGCCTGCAGTCAAGTAACCATCTCTAGGCAGTAGGGAAAACTTTGTATAAGTCTTTTCGTCTTTGAAGGCCTCAACTGAGTTTTGGAAAACTCTGTTAACTTTAACTCTAATTTCTATAGTGTTCTATTTTGTTTTAAAATTTACATTTATTTATTTGGTAAAGCAGGGAGGGCGTGTGGATGCTACCTCAAGCAAGTGGGCATCAGAAGACAACTTGCCCATGGCAGTTTTCCCCTTCCATTATGAGAGTCCTCAGGATCAGCGTCTTTATGTGCTGAGCCATCTCTTCAGCCCTTAGAGATTTTGTTTTCCATTTTTCATTATAAAAGCACAGGCAACAATAACAAAAGTGAAGCTTTAAATTAAAACATATAAAAAAATACTTGAAATACGCAAAAGTACTTGAAGTACTGCAAATATGGTCTTAAGTGTGCTTCCTGTTTTCCAGTGGACATATAGTTCACTTCCCTGAACCTACATCAGTTAGGTTTTTTTAACTCCAGTTCCAGGGGATCTGACACCTTCTTCTAGCCTCCTTTGGGCACTCTTACACACATGGCAGACACATGCACATAAATTACAAAGCACATACCTTCAAAAAGAAAAACTGCAAATAATAAGGCTTTTGTAGGATCATGTAACCCTATGTACTACTTCTAAAGTTACAGTTCTAATTTTCTGAATGCTGCATTAATGAAATTTGTAGAGTAGCAGGTACCTAGAATTTTTTAATACTTGATGCATGCTATAGAAATGCCCAAGGTCATGTCTAGGTTGTAGTTGTTAAAAGTGCATTATTTATTTTGAAGGAATTAACTGGAAAAAAAGAGTGCAGAAAATTTCCTTCAAAAACCTGTGAGAATTCTGAAGGAATAAATGAAAAGAAAATTCAAAGTCAGAAGCAAGGTAATATCTTTAGTAACTGTGTAATGACTAGGACAGTAACTTTAAAATAATTTTTAATGTAATAAAATGGTATTCTAAGTTTCTTGATATAAAGTGGTAAATACGTTAATGATTTAAAGTAGTTATTTGTGCATAAAATGATTATTTAATAAAGTAGCATGTTCCTTTAAATATGATATTATTTATAGATTTGCCTTTAATGTGATCCCTAAGTCACTTTATTTCATAAAGTTATATATTGCTTTAATTGTGCTCATATGAATGTTTTCTTTTAGGAAATTAATGCCATAATTAAGGTTTGATAACTTTTGATTTTCAGAATAATTAAAGGCTATGTACCAAAATATAAAGTGCCTTTTCTCCAAATACTAACAAGTTCAAGATTTCATGTTACGTTAAGTCCATGGACCTAGTGGTATTTTTACTATAACTGAAAAGCGAAAATGAAGAACTGTGAATATTCACAAAAGTGGGGAGGAATACAGTACTGTCTAGGCTACTAGATTCAAACAAGTGAATTTAAAGTACCTAAAAGAGGCTGAATGTTTATTGAGATTGTTAAATAAAATGAAATGATTAAAAATATTCTCACTAGAAATATTTTGTTCAAAATGAGAATATTCAAATTTTTAAAACCTCCTTACTGAGCCGGGTGGTGGTGGTGGTGGTGGTGGTGGTGGTGGTGGTGGTGGTGGTGCACTTTAATCCCAGAACTTGGGAGGCAGAGGCAGGTGGGGATCTCTGTGAGTTCCAGCATAGCCAAGGCTACAAAGAGAAATTCCATCTTGAAAAAAAAGAAAAGAAAAATTTCTAACTGAATGCTTTATTTGATTTATGTAAGGAATTGGAAGAAAATACTTTGTAAATCTATGATTCATGAAAAATCTTATGGAAACATTTTTGGGTTTTTTTTTTTCATTAGGATAGTGGTACTAATCAAATAAATTATCCACAAATTATAATTTTGAAGTTTCCCCCACCATTATTAACTGTTAACAGTTTATTTTGTTGTTTACCTTTTATGGCATGATATGTATACATAGTTGCAGTATTTTTGTTACGATGGTATGGTGATTTACAATTCTTAATAAGTGTCTTAGTTACTGTTCTTTTGCTGTAAAGAAACACCATGACCAAGTCAACTTTTAGAAAGAAGTGTAATTGAGAGGCTTGCTTATAGTTTCAGAGGATTAGTCCATGGCCATCATGGTAGGGATCATGGCATTAGGTAGGCATGGTGCTGGAGCAGTAGTTGGGAGTTCACATCTGACCCTCAGACATGAGACAGAGCTAACTGGTAATGGCATGGGTTTTTGAAACCTCAAAGCCTGCTCCTCAGTGACACATCTCCAACAGAGCCAAACCTACCATTCCTTTGAAACAGTCTCACTCATTGAAGACCAAACATTCAAACATGTGGCCTGTGGTGGCCATTCTGGTTCAAACCACCACAATAAGCATAAGTAGAATTTAATGAAGTTAGAATTTCAGGTAGATTTGCTTCTAGTTTCTCAATTTTTCGATCAGACAGCTGGTCTCATTTGCTTTCTTCCCCAGTAAGATGATAGAATAAAGATACCAAGTTCTGCAGTTTCTGTTACTTCCCATGATAATTCTTGGAGATCTGGAGAGATTTGAAAAAGGTGCTACATTGGCTACATTGGGGATGAAAGCAGAGCTACTGGTATGCATAGAGTTCCACATTTTTCTGATTGCTTAGGTTTAGTGACCCTAATGGATTTCTTCATCTCCTGTTTTACATTCTGAGAATTGATTCTTAAAACATTTGTTTAGTATCTACTAATACTTGAGAGTCTAATAACATCAGCCAAAAAAAAAAAAAAATTTATGAAAGTAAAGTTCTTACATTAATGATTTTCCTACTGTAACTAAAAGATGACTGGTGTACAATGAAAAGTAGGACACTAAAATGGCATTTTAAAAAAGTATTCTAGAAACTTAAAGGATGGAGAGCTTTTAGTTCAAAGAATGGGGACAGTTTATGGACACAGTGGGTTAAAGACTAAGGTCTATGCAAGTAGTATTTTGTCTTATAGATAGATAAGTAAAGGAAATTTTTCAGAGAGAGTAATATTCAGGTCCAAGCATATTTGAAAAATACATGTTCTAATATTAACTCAGAGAATGATTCTAATTTGAGGTCAGTGACAGATTGAAACTATACCAAAGGCCAGGTACAAAAGCTTACATGTATGCCAGTAAACTGGGAAGTCCTTGGCAGGATTGTATAATTACATGCTTATATTTAAAGTGACAGTGATCTACATAGACCAGTGCTTTGTGTAACCTATGGGGGAAAATTGTTTTATTTCGTAAAAGTATTTTTTTCTATACTAAAGGGATTTTGGTTTTGGTTTTGTCCAATGCAATAAAGAGAGAACTGAAGTATTAGATGTACCCATTGATACACCGGACTCACTGGAACAGCCTACCTCTGACAAAGAAAGAAAATACCTGCCTCTGAATCAGAAGGAAGTTTATGTTTTAATGACACCACTTAAAACTAGAAAGGTGATAGAGCAAAAATGTATAGAGCACAATCTCTGTATCAAAGGAGTACCTGATTTTTTCCAACCAAAGCATCAAGAAGAAAGTGAGTCAGATGTACATGTAAGTTCTATGCATAAGTCCTTAGAGACCTTTGAACACAGCATGGGTTATAAAAGTAACTCCAAGGAAGATTGCAGTAAATGTGATATACTCACTGTCAGACAGAAAATTCAGATACCTTGCCCTAAAAATAAGCAAGTGGTCACCAGTGATTTTAAGAAGAATATCAAGTTGTCCTCGAAATTGAAGAAAACTGAAAATCAAGTAGCCGTATCACCTAACAGTCATTTCTCATCACTTTTGTCAAGTGAAGAGAATGAAACAGAGATTAGAAGTAAAACCAGAGCAAGAAATAGAAAAGAAAGGCTGATTGACCAGAGAAAAAACCCGTGCAGTATCACAAAAGATATCCTGCTGGTTTCAGAATCTGAAGGTGAGAGTGGTTCTCGTATCACACCACAGAAACCTAGATCTTCTGCTAAAGAAACGCTTCCAAAATCTGGTGTTAGCAAGGACTTTCTGATTGAAGTTAAAGGATCTGATACAACAAACAGGCAACTGGTAGGCTGTCATCTACCTGGTTTAATTGATAATGAAGAATGGAGTGAGCAAGAATTACAGAAGCTTCATCGGTAAGTAGTTTTGTCTCTGGAATATCTGCAGAATGGTTACAAAACAGGACAAAGGGCTTGATTTAGTGATTCCACATCAGTCTTAGGATAGTGATGTTAGGAAGTATTCAGAAGAAATGAGCGATTATTCTGTCTGCTATTGGTGATAAATCACAATCTTTAAGAATTGAATTTGAAACTGGGCAGTGGTGGCACATGCCTTTAATCCCAACACTCTTGGGAGGCAGAGGCAGGCAGAGCTCTGTGAGTTCAAGGCCAGCCTGGTCTACAGAGCAAGATTCAGGACAGGCTCCAAAGTTATACAGAGAAACCCTGTCTCAAAAAACCAAAAAAAAAAAAAAAAAAAGAATTGATGTTGAGTTCTGCTGGAGAGAGGGCTCAGCAGTTCAGAGCACTGACTGCTCTTCCACAAGACCTGGGTTTGGTTCCCAGCACCCACATAGTGATTCACAGCTTTCTATAACTCTAGTTCCAGGGAGTCTGATACTTTTCTGGCCTCTGTGCACAAACATAGATGCAGGCAAAACACTCGCACTCAAAAAAAAAATTATTAAAAAGTATTAAATTTGACTATAGAGACTAAGAGTTTCAGTAGTGTGGTAGTATAGAAACTAGATCAGAATTGAGTCATGAAGCCTAAATGGGAAGATTAAAGAGATAGTACAACACATGTGGACAAATCAAGAAAATCGGAAATTGTCATTGCATTTAATGTAACTTCGTATATTCTGCTTTAGATCAAAATCAGACCATGTTAACAATTTTACCTCTTCTAGCTGTATCTCTCATCATTTCTTTATCATATAACTTCTTACCCTTTATATTTCAAAACATCTAAAAAGGTTTTTAATTTTTTTTACATCTCTCCTTCCCTCCCTTCTTTCCTTCTTCTCCCCTCCTCCCCCCAGTGTTGGGGATCAGGCTCGGTGCCTTCTTTATAGTAGGCAAACATTCTACCACTCAGCTAACACCTCAGTAGTCACATTTCTGTACTGTAAAGACTTAATTTCCAGTAAGGTGGAATAAGTGTGCTATGTTTATTGGACTGTACAGTTAAAACCTAGACAGAATGCTTGGAATCTTTTGTAAGTTTAGGAAAGTAAACAGTAGTGACTCAGTTGGAAAGTCTGGAATGTTACATATCACCAAACCCGGGGTGAATGTCCACTTTTTTTCCCTTTTGTTTCTCCGCCTAAGCTAGACTTAGGGCTAAAAATGATCAAGAAATGGGCCCATAAGCATACTGTTTGCCCGTTCTAATTCTCGTTCTCTTGCTTTTCTTTCTCTGACGTCCAGTCCCCTGTGATCCCACACAAAAACCTATTCTAGACCTCCCCAGTGATTGATGAGCATCTGAAAAATGCAAATTACTTCCCAGTCTGACTTCATGAATTGAAATCTTCAAGTGGTTCTTAATATTCAGCCCATTGCTTTGTATTTTTTTTTTTTTGGTGTTTTTTTTTTTTTTTTTTTTTTTTTTTTGGTTTTTCAAGACAGGGTTTCTCTGTGTAGATTTGCGCCTTTCCTGGAACTCACTTGGTAGCCCAGGCTGGCCTCGAACTCACAGAGATCCACCTGCCTCTGCCTCCCGAGTGCTGGGATTAAAGGCGCGTGCCACCACCACCCGGCGCTTTGTATTTTTTAATTGTATTTATAGCCTAGAAGATGTTTAGCATCTACCGTATCACTGTAACAAGTTTATGAGAATATGTGCTTATGAGACTATAAAGACAGTCTGACCTAATTTAGATGGATATGTGAACTAAGAGGTGAAAGATAAATCAGAAGTGAGCCAAAGATTGAAGATAAGTGCATTTCATATAGAAAGGAGAGGACATATTTAGAAATCTTGACAAAGGCTAGAAAGAATAGAGTACTGAAAGTTGAGGAGAGAGTGCAAACCTGACAGGACTAATGTCAGTCAGGGCATCACCCTAAGTTATATCAAGGATCTATTACTTTACCTGGAATAACCTGGAAGTTATTTACAATTACTGACTTATTAAATGCATTAAGAATAATTTTTTAATGAAAAATAGTTCTTTTAAAATATAGACAGTCCTAGATTTGCCAATAGCTTTATACACTACTAGGAAACTTGATAAAGTTGGAGTAATATTATTATATTAGTTAATTACCCCTCATCTGAAAACCTAAAAGCTCTAAAATCTAAAACTCTTTGTGAAACAGCTAACACTAGTGGAATATGCTTAACCTCCTGTGATGATGGATCACAGTTAGTACATAGGTGTGTTAAAATGACTATATGAAATTATCTTCTAGAGGTTGGTGTTGCTTAATGGTAGAGTGCTTTCCAGCTATCAACAAAACAAAATTATAATCACCTGTGGTCTGTATGTAGACGGTATATATGAACATGAATTAATTTCATGTTCTGACTGAATCCCATCCAAGTATATGTATCTTAAATCTGACACACCTGTGTCTTAAGTATCTGAGATAAGGAGTATTCACTCTACCATGTTAGGGCGATTTCTGAATTAGTTATCATCTGGCTGAATTGTCACCTTAACCACCACAAAGTCTTGATGGGAGTGTGAGGAGGTGGAAGTAGTAGGGTAGCCTTTAAACTGTTATTTGCAAATGAACTTTCAGAGTTTCATTTATAGGTTGACTTGGAACCACTTTGTATTTAAATCTTTTTAGTTTTTGAGACAGTATTATTTATTTTCCTTAAACTTTTCATTTTTTTGCCTCACTTTCTCTAGTGTTGGGAGTACAGGTGCATGCCATCATTCCCAGCTTCATTTTTATTAGTAGTAGTATTAAAGTATCAGTTGTATGTATTAATGTGTGCTATTTCCATTATATGCACATGTCATGCATTCATCATGCATGACCATGCCCATTCACCATTAACCATAAAACTATGTAAGACCTAGGAGTTCATCTGGCAGATTTAGCACTAGTAATACTTGATAAACAATATATAGAAGTTATTTTATGCCAGAATTCCCTCAAAGATCAAATCACTGAGTAGTTGAACTTCAGGGGGAAAATGTTAAAAGATTGGAAAAGATTTTATATTTAATAGAAATAGTTTGAAAGCATTTTATTAGACATGTACAGTTATATATTCTTCATATTGTAATTATATTGTAATAAGAAAGTTATGGAATACAGGGAGATTGGTATCTTTTTTTCTGAATAGTTATCCAGAATCATTTTGGTTTAAAAAATAGTCTTCCAGCCGGGCGGTGGTAGCGCACGCATTTAATGCCAGCACTCAGGAGGCAGAGCCAGGTGGATCTCTGTGAGTTCAAAGCCACCCTGGGCTACCAAGTGAGTTCCAGGAAAGGCAAAGCTACACAGAGAAACCCTGTCTCGAAAAACCAAAAAAAAAAGTCTTCCAGCTTAGTAAACATTACTGACTTATGCTCTCAGGAGATCCGTTTAGTGACTTGAATCTTTTGTTCTTAACTATTTTTGGTCTCCCCTAGTGCTTTTACATCTCTTCCAAAGCACAAGCCTGGTTTTTGGTCAGATGTGGCTATGGCAGTTGGTTCTCGAACTGCTGATGAGTGCCAGAGGAAATACATAGAAGATCCCCAAGGCAAAAGATCCCGAAAACATGTCTCTAAGAAAAAGCAAGCCGATTTCAAGGTCCAAAATGGTAACTTTTATCATTGTTTTCTTAGAGTGTTTAGTGTACTTCTAAATGCTTACGAATTATATTTTATGTTTATTCGTGAATCTTGTATCAGTTGTTTCCTTCAAAATTTAAAATCTTGAAAGATAATATTTTAAGCCTTAACCTATGTAGCTAATTCTATTAATAATAGTTTAGTAGCCTTTTGCTCAGAATTTGTTCTAGTAAGTTTGAAATTTGATACATATTGCAATATCTGAGGGTATAATTTAGCTCGAGCATTTGCTTACAGTCCCTGTCATACTTTATGAAAAACTAATAAATTTTGTTTTTGTAATCTGAAATGTACTCCTATCTGTTGCTTGTCAGAGAAGTCCCATAGTAATTTGTTGGAGAGGCAAAGGTCTCAGTTCGTTGTCCAGACTGAGCTCAAGAGAGCCTCCAAGTAGCTGGGACTACAGGCTTGTGTCATTGTGCCATGTTCCAAAGCCACCGCTTTTTTTTTTTTTTTTTTTGGTGTGTGTGTGTGTGTGTGTGTGTGTGTCTGAGCTATGCCTAGTGAGCTTTGTTAGGGCTTCAGCTTCAGGAATAAAAGTTTTAGATGGGAGGCTGCCTCCTACCTTTGGGCGTGTTTTTCTTTTTTTTTTATAATTTAAATTTTTAGCATTTATTTATATGTGTATGTGTGCATGTGTATGCTTGCATGCTTGTTTGTGTGTGTGCGCCAAGGCATGAGAATGAAGGTCAGAGGACAGCTTTAGGGAGTTGGTTCTCTTCAACCATGCAGGCCCCAGGAATTGAACTCGGGTTGTCAGGCTTGGAGAAAGGTCCTTTACCTCGGAGTCCTTTCTGGCCCACCCTTGGTTGGTATAAGGAAACACACAGGGATTAAGTCATTCTTAGAACAAAACATTTTTAAAAAGTGAGAGTGGGCCTGGAGAGATGGCTCAGAGGTTAAGAGCACTTGTTACTGTTGCAGAGGACCCAGGTTTGGGTCTCAGCAACTCAAATGATGGCTCACACCATCCATAATACCAGTTCCGGAGGATCCAGTGCTCTCCTCTGACCTTCATAGGCACCAAGTATGCCTGTGGTGCAAAACACACACATAAAATCAATCTGTTTGTTTGTTTGTTTGTTTTTGTTGTTGTTTTGTTTGGGTTTTTTTTTTGGTTTTTTTGAAACAGGGTTTCTCTGTGTAGTTTTGGAGCCTGTCCTGGATCTTGCTTTGTAGATCAGGCTGGCCTTGAACTCACAGAGATCCCTCTGCCTCTGCCTCCTGAGTGCTGGCATTAAAGGTGTGTGCCACCACCGCCCAGCAAAATAAATCTTTAAAAATTATTTGTTCTGTAGGAAAAAAGTAAGAGAGGGTTTTAGTTTTATAAAGCAGGTAAAATTACCAGACCATTGTCAAAATGTTTTATTAACTCTTAGGTGAGAAAGACAATGCTGCTGAGCAAAAGAGTATTAAGATAACTGCCAGAGTGGGAACTCTTAAAAGGAAACGACAAATGCGAGATTATCTGGAACAGCTGCCCAAAGACAACCACGATGACTTTTTCAGTGCGACACCCTTGCAGAAACAGAGAGTACTGGTAGGAGTGCTGACTGCATGAAGTCTGCATTTTTATATCGATTCTGGTAGTTTTCATTTTTATATACTGTTAGTGTTTATCACTAATATTACAGTCAAGGATCTGTAGTCTTTACATACATGAACAAAGTACAGAAAGAGATCTGCTGATACATGCTGTTTTTACCAGTTTCTAGAGTCTGCTCTTGAGTGTTTAGTACTGGTATAACCAAATACAAGATGAAGAGATGGGCCAAGGACATTACAAGATAGATGACACTCATTTTTCTTTGACAAAGAATAAGCAAAGCAACTGGGTCGAGAGCTGCACTTTGAAAGTTTAGACTTACAAGCTGAGCATTTGGAGACCAACTGGAATACATACAGCTCTGGGGGATAGAGGCCTTTGACTCTCCATCCCTGGGTCCTCACAAATGTCACTATACTAGAACAGGGGCTCTTCCTCGCTAAACCAGCTAGCCCCAGCAGAGCAACTATTGCAGTACCTAGACAGTGCCCTGCACTACAGGAGACAGGTGGTGAAGCTGTGATCATTTCAAAGGTTCCCATAAAGCAAATGAATTGTTTTGTGCTTTGGAATCTGTATCATATAACTAGCCCACTTAATTCTCATGAAGAATCTATATAAGGCTAGATGAGATGAGTGCTACAAAACTGATTTTATATGTAGAAAAACTTACATGTAGAAAGACTCCTCAAAACTGAAGCAGTTAAGCAAAATTGCAGGATCTAAAGCCAACATATGGGGCTGGGGATGTTGCTCAGTGGTTACATGTGCCAGGCCCTGTGTTTTATCACTTATCATCACAAAACTAGCATTTACAAAAGAAGTAGCACTTATATACACCCTCAGTGAACTGGCTGAAAAAAAATCAAAAAGCATTTCCATTTACAATATTCAAAAAAACAAAAGACATTGGAAGAAATTTAATCAAGTGGGTAAAAGATCTCCACAATGAAATTGATTTTAGAAAAAGGAAAAAACTTATTAAAAAAATTGAGGACACTAATAAATGGAAAGATGTTTGTACATTGGAAGAATTAATATTGCTAAAATACCCATAATGTTCAAATGACATTCTTCGTTAAATTAGGGAAAAAAAAAATCACAAAGTTCATATAGAAACAAAAAACCCAGGATAGCCAAGGGAATCCCAACTCAAAACAACCAAACAAAGACAGAAGAAAAATAGATAGCAGTTACTTAGCTTATTTTTCTATGCCATAAGTCTACTTCTGTGTTTTGCTTTTTTCTCCCTTCATTTTTTTGAGACATGGTCTTGCAATATACAGCCAGGCTGGCCTTGAATCCACATCCTTCTGCATCAGTCTCCTGTGCAGTTATAGCCATGCCTCTTCACTTTATGATTTTACTGTAAAGGTAAATAAAATCTTAAGAGTTGACTTGGCTATTGGAAATAATAGTGTAAAACTAGTTGAGTTGCCACTAAGTGTCAAAACAGTAGTGAATGAATTTAAGTTTTGTTGTAGTAACATCTAAATTCAGCAACTTATGAGCCAAATCCAGTGTCTCATTTATTTTAAATAAAAAACAAAAAACAAAAAAAAATTAATGAAAAAAAGATTGTGCGTGCATGGTGTGCATGTGGAAGGAAGTAGGGACAGTTTTATGGAGTCACTTCTCTCTTTCCACCAATATATGGGGCTAGGAATGCCACTCTGGTTACATGTACCACGCCCTAGGCTCCATCTCCATCACTTCTCAGTGACTAACTTTACATGGGTCCAGGGATTGAACTCGTCACCTGGTTTCAAATGGACCTTTACTGGCTGGGCCATCTTGTTAGGCCTTTTACGCAGGTTGGTTTTTTGTTTTTTTGTGGGTTTTTTTGTTGTTGTTTTTGGGTTTTTGTTTGTTTGTTTGGTTGGTTGGTTTTCCAGACAGGGTTTCTCTGCTTAGCTTTTGGAGACTGTCCTGGAACTCACTCTGTAGACCATACTGGTCTCAAACTCACAGAGATCTGCCTGTCTCTGCCTCCCAAGTGCTGAGATTAAAGACGTGTGCCACTGCTTCCCATTACATGTTTTTATAAACAAAGTTTTATTGGAACACAACCATACTCATTTGTTTTCATATTATATATTATTATATATTATAGTTTTCATACTTCAATTAGAAGCTTGAGTAATTGGGAAAGACTATATAGATATAAAGCCTAAAAGCTTTAAAGATGCTTAGAAAATACTTGACTACCTCTGCTCTCCATAGCCTTTAGAAATAGGTGTAATTGTCTGTATTTTTCACAAGAGAAAATAGTTTTTGTAGTGAATATTCTGTGTTTTATTATTTTTAAAGCTTGAAAAAGATTATAGAGGAAAAAACCTAATCCACAAAATCACTTTGTAATGAGAAAATTTTGAGTGTGCATGGTAAAAATATTTGTTTTCTAGTTGCCAAGTTTTCAATACAGTCAAGATGATGATTTTCTGCTAGATATGGACAGGAATACAGCATCTCCATCATCAGTTGCTTTGTCAGACACTCCACAATGTCAGCATGTCAGTCCTGGTATGCTAGCCCCTGTAAAAAGGTAAATGTGAATGTGCTGTTCATATTTTAATTTACTCAGGAACATTGAAACATTTTGTGAAATGATAAACATAGATGAATCAAGGAGAAGAGTTAACATTTTAAAAAAATGAAGAATAGATACTTCTAAAAGTTAAGGATGGATAGCTTTAACAAGTTAGGGGTTATACGTAGTACATAATATTAGAAACAGAATAGTTTTTCTTGAGAAATTTAAAATATATATAAAAAAACTAGTGAATCTTTGTGGTATTATATTGTCAGGTTAACAGTCTTTGTAACTTAAATGCAAAATGCATAAGTCATTAATGAAAAAGTTAATAATTTTATGTTTTGCTACCAATCACTGTAAACAATATAAAAACAGAAAAGAGTGTTCTGTTGGGTCTGGAGAAATGGCTCAGTGGTAAAGAGCACTTTAGTGTTCTTGCGGAGGACCTAAATTAGGTTCCTAGCCCCAACGTCTGGCAGTTCTCTACTCATTTATTTCCTCCAGCTCCAGGAGTTCTGACTACTTCTGCCTCCATGAGCAGTGCACTCATGTGTATAACCTCCCGGCTTCCACATGCACACATAATTAAAACTAATACTCTAAAATCTTCAAAAAAGAATATAATGTAACTTAATACAAAAATGTTCATGTCTCTAATATATTTAGCATTACTGCCAGTTAACAATGAATCAGTCATTTTTTCATGGCATGTTAGTGAAAAAATACACATCAGTATTATCTGTGCAGCTGCATTTGTTGGTAACTATTTATATAACTATGAACTTTGACCCAGGAATCCTACTTTAGTGTTGCAGTATTCAAGGAGGCTAGAAGTTATCTTGCTAAGCATGGTGGTACATGCCTTTAATCCCAGCACTTGGAAGTCAGAGACACAGATCACTGAGTTTGATGACAGCAAAGCTACATAGTAAGATACTATCTCAAAATTTGAAAAGGGGTGTGTATGTGGTTACTTTTTATGATAGTTTTAAAACTTCTAAAGTGAAAAACTTAACTTTTGTTGTACAAAACAATCATTTGGAAAGTAGACTTATAGGCTGCTAATCTGGGTAGACCTGCCATTCACTAAGCAGTATATTAGCAGCTGATGGATTTATTTATTTGAATAGCAATGTTTGTGATTAAGATACATATCTTAATATATAATCAAATTTATAAATTTTTACATGTCGTATCTTTGTAGCTGCTCCAAAATAATCAATAAGGAAAAAAGATAATAGACCATACATGTAAGATCTTGAGGCCAAGGGAGAGAATGCAAATAGCTATCTGTTTGACTTCAGCTTTTGTATGTACATTACAGATAATCATCTTTGCTAAACTAAACTCTTCATAGTGAGGAAAGGGGACAAGAAACACAATTATCTAAAAAGAAAAGGTTTGCTAAGTTGGATTGGAAACTTGATTAGAAGATACTAATTGATAGTTTTTGTACATCATAGCCTAAAAGTGATCAACTGTAATATCCAATTTAGATTAATGGAAGTGAACAGGAAAAAAATACCAAAGACAGGAAGTTAAGCGTTTTAGGGATAAACGTATATGGATGTCTTAGTTACTGTTCTGTTGCTGTGAAGAGACTCCATGACTACAACATCTGCTATAAAAGAAAGCATTTAACTGGGGCTTGCTTGCAGTTCCAGAGATTTAGTCCATTCTCATCATGGTGAGAGTATGTAGACAGTGCTGTAGAAGTAGCTGAGAGTTCTACATCTGGATCTGCAGGCAGCAGGAAGAGAAGGACACTGGGCCTGGTTTAGGCTTTTGAAACCTTAGCCTATCCCTAGTGACATACTTCCTCCAGCAAGGCCACACCTCCTAATCCTTCTGTAGTGCCATTCTTATTCAAACCCCCACAGCGGGATAGTGGCCAAAAGGAAAACATAATTTCCTAGAATATTCTTTTGAGAGAAGTTAAGTAAATTTTAGATTTTTATTAATTGCTGTTCAACATATGGGTAAAATTATGATAATGTTGACTTGACATCTTGATATTATTTTGTATTCACGCAGTGATGATTATGATAAATATGTTTTCCATATGCAAAAAAATGCTAAAAAATGTGGCAAGAGTAATGGCTTTGTCTGGGGCAACATTAGGAAAAAGACAGTAAGTATTTTTATTATTTATCTGACACTTTTATGTTGAATAGTTATAACACTTGATAAATTGTGGTCGGTATAAATTGTATAACAGTCCTTCCTCTCTAGGAACTTACAACCTAATCTAATTTTAATATGAAGCTATTAGTGAAGTAAATACATACACACTGTAGAATTATTTATAGATGACAGCTATATCAATTGAACGAAGATGAGAATGGGTAAAAATTCTCATTTGAAAACTAATTGGAATATACCAGTCCAAAAAGGCCATTTAAAGCAATATACAAAAATAATGTATCCGTTCAACAACTGTGAATCCAGACGAATTGATTTATGGCCTATATAGAATAAGAATTTTATCCAATCTCTTACATCTTTGAAACAGGTTCAGATTCTTTTAGCTTTAGTGACTCAATTTGTTTTAGCATTCCAGTATTTAAAATCCAAACACAGAAAACTGTATTTGAAGGTTGCCTTAATAATGAATTCTACCGTAGACGAAGAACCATCTTTTATTGGGGCTGAATGTAGAATACTTGTCTAGTATGCCCATGGGCCATGGGACCAAGCCCCAGTACTGTTTCAAAAATAAACACCTTAACCTGGGCCTGGTGGTACAGACATACAATACCAGCACTTGGGAGGTGGAGGCTAGAGAATCAGGAGTTGAAGTCATGAGGCCGGAATCCCAAAAAAAAAAAAAAAAACAAGTCTTTTTAAAAACTTTTAGTTTTTTGAGATTATAATGTAATTACATTATTTCCCCCTCTTCTTTCTTCCCTCCAAACCTTCTATTATATCCTTCTTTTTTCAAATCCAGGGCTTTCCCCCCACCTTATCTCTTTTTTTTGCCTTTAAAATTTTCCATTTCAAATTTTTAAACTTTTAAATTTCTGAATATTTGATTTTTTTTTCAAAGTAGCTCATCTTGGAGAATAATTTATACAGACGAATTGTGACATTAGTTACTTAGGAAAGTAATTCTTCAGGCTAGATATGGCCATCTTTTCCTCTCTTTAAAATCTTTATACTACAAATTTGTTAAGTAAAATTCTTCTCAGATTGGGATTATATAATCATACTTCATGAGTTTAGCCACAAGAAATAGTAAATACTTCATCAGAGACCTTGATTTAAAATTAACTTAGTGGCTCATTTCTTAAAAAGAAATCCATTTTATAAGTGAACTAGGCAGACTACTTCTCAGTACTCTTCAGATACTTGATTTTTTTTCTATCTCCTTATTCCTTAATGAGAATGAAACTTTGGTTCTTGCAAAATGACCTGAAATTAACATTGTTAGGAAGCCTTGAAATAGGAATCCAAAGATTAGACTTTTGGTCCTTTTTTTTGGTTGTGTTCATAAAGTACCTTAAGTAACTATTTCCTTCATCTAAATGTTTGTAGAAGTCACTTGAGATCTTGTGAAGTCAAGATTCTGATGCAGTAGACTTGAGAAATTCATGTTTCTAATAATCCCCAAGTGATGTCCATTTTGTTGATCCATAGACCGTGGATCAGCACAGCAAATTAGTGCACTTGTTTTCTCTACTCAATGAGGAGAGGTAAATTGTGATAATCTTTGGGTCCTTCCTATTAGAAACACATTTTTTCTTTCTCTTTCCTTTTTTAGTTTTTTGTTGTTGTTTTGAGACATGGTAGGGCTACATGGCTCTTTGTAGCCCTGGCTGTCCAGGAACTCCCTTTGTAGAACAGGGTGGCTTCACACTCAGAGACCTCAGAGACCCACCTACATCTGCAACCCAAGTGTTGGGATTAAAGGCACCCACCACCACATGGGCCTATTTGATTGTTTTACTTAATGTGTTAAAATTAAGCAATGAACAAAACTGAGATTTACCCAGTTCTTTTTCATAGTCTAGTATTTGTAGCCAGTGTGTTAGTGTGGAAAGAGCCCAGAATTTTGTGTTAAAAGTACTCATTTCAAGGTCTAATTACCAGTAGCAGCCTCATTACACTATGAAAGTGACTAAACTTTTCTAATTTATGCATATTTAGATAAAGACAATGGCTTGTTACTGAGTGGTTACGAGAAGTAAATGATGTCTTTATCTCATCTTACAGGGATAATAATAAAGTATTCTAAACCAAGATAAGTACTGAGTATATTTGGGCAACTTTTATAGGCTATAGACTATTCTTTGCCTTCTGTAGCATTAGCTGATAGTATTTTCTTATGTATATAAACGTTGCCAGCAGTGGGAAACAGCACTAAGTTATGGGTTTTGCTCTGGATAAACTCAAGATTTTGGTTGCTTTAGTTATAAAAGTGATGTAATAGGCCTATGTTTAAAGTACTCTGGGGATAAAGCATGCTTGATTTCATCTAGGAGGCATCACAGGAGATGCAATTTGCCACTAACATACACTCTTTTATAGGTTGAAAATGATCTCTCATCTCTAACATCAATACGAAAAACCCTGTTTAACAAAGGTATTTATTTTATAGCTTAGTTCCATTACAATATGATCTCTATTTGATAGTATTACAATTAACTGGTTCTCAAGTAGACAGACCTATGATTTAATTTGTTGGAGTTGGTTTCACTTCTGTTAAAATTACTGAAGATTACTAAATATACTAATCCTTTTCATTAAATTTTTCTTTACAGATTTAGGTGAAAACACAGCTATTGCAAAGTGTTTCGTTGATGATGCCATAGAATCAGATGAAGAAGAGAAAGATTATTACTTTTCTAATTCTGACTGATAGTAAATACATTTGCAGGAGTTTTACTATCAAGCAGAGCATACTTATATTCTCATTTGATGAATGGGTATTTTCTTTGTAATAAGAGGATGTAGATTTGTTTCCAAACGATGTCTTATGTTTGTATGCAAGGTTAACAACATCCTGTAGAGCATCCCTCAGTGTTACAATATAATACAAGTAAAATTACTTTGCCTGTGTATGTAGATGTAAGTTTTATTTTTGTAATATTAATGTATATAAAGCTTAAGTTTCTTGAACACCCAAGTCTGTTTACTTTAGTAATCATGTCTCACATAGGTTTTTAAATAAATTTTTAAAAACCTTGAAGTGAGGAGAGGTAAGGAGCTGGAATTAGAGTTTGGATTGGTGAATACTGGAATGAAAATTTATAGTATTTTGCTGCCTGGTATTATAAGCCAGAGTTCATTGACTATTTCAGTTATGTTATTCAGTTGGTCTATGTTTTACATGTTTTCTTCTGATAGTTTTTCTTAAAATTTATCATAAGTTGGTCTGTTTGTGAAACCTCTATCTCTAATTCATTGCTCTTTATTTTTTTATAAAGTGAACCAGAGGACAGGTTCTGTTGTATTCTGCAGCCATGTTATGTACAGTTGATAGATCTACCTTTATAAGGAATTACTCTGCCATAATAATCAGGTTTTCCCTTGCTGACAGCTCCTTTAGAAGCTGACTTTTATTCTGCCATTGTTTTAAAGTTTGACATAAGTTATTTGTCTTCTGGTTGCATTACATATTCATCTACCCTTTGCATCCAGTTAGACTGTTCAAATAAAATTTTAAATTTGTATAGTATTTGTTTATGGATTTTTTTTTCTTTTTAAATTATTTAATCAGAAAAAGAATGCATTTTGTTAGTGTGTTACAGCTATGAGAAGGAATTTTTTCCCAATGCACATGTTAAAGCTTGGATAGAAAGGTATCCTGGCAGCCTGGAGCCAAGGAATACACAAAGTCACACAACACAGCAAACCTCACATGAGGTTTATTGGGAGGGGGGAAAAAACCAGGAGTGTAGCATGAATCTTAGAGAGTCTTATTAATAAAATCAAACCTGAGGCCAGTTATTGGGGTGAATGCTGGAAAATCAGAGAAGCAGAACAAGCCACAGCTACCTCACCTCGCCGGATCCTCAGCTGGTCTTGTTTCCTCAGACTGGAGGCCTCTTGAGTCCCCATCCAGAATGGGTCTCAGCTGAACTGTTGCTCAAAAGCCTGAATGCTTAACCAGGCCAAATGCTTAACCAGCCAAAATGCTTCTAGTTCCTGGCCTTATATATCTTTCTGCCTTCTACCATCACTCCCTGGGATTAAAGGCTCACTCCCTGGGATTAAAGGTGTGTGTCACTATGCCTGGCTGTTTCCAATGTGGTCTTTGGTCCCAGATGGATTTCTGCTTCTGGAATGCTAGGATTAAAGGTGTGAGTGCCACCATTTTCTAGCCTTTGTATCTAGTGGCTGTTCTGTCTCTGGCCCCAGATAAGTTTATTAGGGTGTACAATATTTTGGGGAACACAATACCCCCACACAGGAGGGTGGCTGCGTCTTCTTGGGCAAGCAGCAGAGAATTTAGCAGAAGAAAGGGTTTATATAGGATTTCTTGGGGGTGGAGATTTTCAGGGTGGGCAACTGGTGGGATTTCAAGTCTTGAGCTTGGGTTTTTTACTCAGTAAGGTGGAGCTTGGTTGACTGCATCCAATGGGGCTGGGTTCAGCAATATGGTTCTTAGAGTATTATGTGGGAGGAACATGGCTTTTGGAGGTCCTCCAGTGGGGCCTGGCCACTCTTGATCCTGAAGTGCCTTACAGTTACTGTTCCCTCTTAGGTTTCCTAAAAACACACTGGAACATATAGTACAAATCATTCATTCATTCCTTCTCTTTGTTTCTGTCAGTCTCTCTTCTCCCAGTCAAGGTCTCACTGTGTATCCTGGAACTCAATATGTAGAGCAGGCTTTTTTATTAAGCCAGTTGCTAGGCCTGGTGCTTCAGTCATGTTTCAGCTATAAGGCAGGAAGAACTGCAAGTTTGAGACCAACCTAGACAATTTAATAAGACTCTGTCTCAAAAACAAAATTAAGGGGATCAAAAGATGGCTCAGCAGTTAGGAGTACTTGCTGCTCTTGTTGACATGAAATTTGGTGCCCTCCACCTATGTTAGACAATGCATAACACCTGTAATTCTAGCTCAAGGAGACGGATTACTCTCTTTTGGCTGCCACAGGAACCTGCATTCAAATATGCACATACACACACATACACGTAATTAAAAAGAAAAACAGTAAGAAAAGGTGGTTTAAAAACATAAAACATAGGAAGTTCTTAACAAGTGGTGGGAGGAAGCTGGGCAAAGCAATTAGAATGCAGGTTCAATTCCCAGTAATGCTCCTCTCCTGCCCCCCATGGCCAACAAAACCAGCAGGTGTTGGTAGCTATAAAAACAAAACAGAATGGTTTGAGCTGTCAATCCTTAATGTGATGCTTTGCTGGTTGAGATTAATAGGTAGTATTTTAGAAGAGGGCCACTAGATCTGCTTTATAGCTAGCAATATTTAAGCCTACACTGACTAGATAATCAGTGTGGATTTGGATTTGAAGTAATTGCTAAATGCGTACTGGTCAATATTTTTGAATACTTTTTTTCGATGATTTTAACAATTTTGAACAGCAGGTAAATTACTGGAATTTTAGGAGATGGGATTTTAAAATTATTTCAGATGAACAAAATTCAGAACTGAGTAAAAAAAAGTTTCTTCCTGGGTTTTGTTTCAAATTGCCAGTATAAATATGAACAAACTAATTATTTCAAGACCTAATTTTTATGATCCAATAGGAAATAAAAAAGCACGTTGAATTAGATGCATTCTGAAGTTCCTGTCATATGTAAGGTTGGGGAAGCTCTCTTGTGACTCAATAGGAGAAAGGATGGAGGCGAGGAAATCCACTGGCAGAAGAAACAGTCTTATTCACATTGCAGATATAAACAGACCCATCTTAAAATATTTACGGCGTAAGAATGAGTTAAAGCAAAATTTCATGTTAAAATATTGACTGTATTCAGAGACATTTAGTGGAAATTATATAACTTAAATATTTGATCTTAATTATTAAATCATTTGCCTCACAACATACATTTTACTCAGTATATATTTAGACTTCTTAACACATTTATTTATTTATTTATTTTTGTGTGTGTGTGTGTGTACGTGTGTACATGTGAGTGCACTGCACAAGGAGGCTAGAGAAATTGGATGCACCAAAGCTGGAGTTAGGCAGTTCTAAGTCACCTGATGGGGGTTCTGAGTCTGAAAGAGCAGTGTGTGCTCTTAACCTGAGCCATCTCTTAAGGTCCTAGACTTAGTATGATAAATATTACAATTCATATACAGTACATGTTATTTATAAACAGTTCTTACCAGTTATAGAAACTATTATGCTAACAAATCACAGTACTTACACTTAGAAAAATTCCAAAATACATTTTGCTTTTAGTGGTTTTTAGATTTTTAAGACAGGTTCTTGTTTGTAGCCAAGACTAGCCTCAAACTTGTGCCTACTGCCTTGGGTTACAGTGTGCTAGTATTCTCAGTCATATTCATCTTTGCTGTGTATGTATGAAGATGTGTACACACAAGGAAGCATGTATGTGTGTGGTGGCCCAAGATCAACATGAGATATTTTTTGTTATTGGGGTTTTGTTTTTCCTTTTTTGAGACAGGGTTTCTCTGTGTAGCTCTGGCTGTCCTGAAACTCACTCTGTAGACGAGGCTGGCCTCGAACTCAGAGATCCACCTGCCTCTGCCTCCCGAGTGCTGGGATTAAAGGTATGTACCACCACCGCCCAGCCGCATGGGATATTTTCATCTGTCATTCTTCACATTATTTTTGAGACAAGTCTTCCACTGAACCTGTGTTGGAACCCATTTAGGCTTTACCCAGCAGGTGTGCATAAAGAGGATGATTGGACCACAGGCTGGATACCAGGTGTCTAAGGTGGTCTGCACTTAGCTGTGCTGGGGGGAGGTCTTTTGCTCCACCCCTTGGCATTTTTTAAAAGCCCTTTGGCAGAGACAGTCAAGTCAGGGCCTGATGAGTTAGGATCCAGGTTCTCCCAAGGTTATGCTGTATTTTCTATCTTTTTCTCTCCTCTCTATCCTTCTAACTAATATTTCCTGCTGCTTCTACTCAAGAGTACTCTGGGGAAAATGTAGGGGTGAGGGATGGCCCCCCACAAACCTGAAACTCACCAATTCTGCCATACTGGTTAGCAAACTGATATCCTCCAGTCTCTAAAATCCTCAGCACTGAGTCCAGGTGTGCACCACTCTATCTAGCCTTTACATGGGTACTGGGGATGAACTCCGGTTCTCAGGTCCTCAGGCTTGTGCAAGAAGCACTGAAGCAACTGATCATCTCCCAGCACCTCGGCTTGCTTGCTTAGATGCTTAAGCCAGTCTGAACAACACCACACAGCCTTGATTTATTCAATAAAAAGTTATTTCACAGTTCAGTCAAAATGATTATGGAACATCAAAGATTTTCTTTTAAAAATAAATTATGCAGTCTATAAATAAAAAGCTTTACAATATGTAAAGATATCTTTAAGAGATGAAATATTTACATATTTTAAGCTGGTAATCACAAACTACAATGATTATTTAGTATTGTGAGAGTTCTTTCATAATCACACTTTGAGTGCTGAGCATGCATCAGATTTCAGTCTATCCTGGTTAAGATCACTTGGTAACATTTGCATGTCAAATGTATAGTGAATATATCTGTAGATCTCTTCAGCCTTTTGACGAGTTACTTGAGCACATGCGGAGATTTCTTCAGGTGAGCTGAAAAGAGAAACAGTGAACCTGGCTTTTATGACATTTACTATTTTTATCATGTCTCAGTATGGAGCACTTGTCTAGCAGGTATGAGGCACTGTATTCAGTTAACAGTACACATTCAAAAACCTCTTCCATTGTACATCTAGCTAAATGCCCTTAGCATTAGTTTAAACAGAACAAAAACTTGTTTTCTTTAAACTGACAGTATACTGGGCATGGCGTTGCACTCCTTCAATTCTAGCATTCAGGCAGAGGAAGGCCAGCTCTGGAGTCTGGAAAAAGCATAGTCTATATAGTTCCAAGGGCACATAGTAGGACCATCTCAATCACCTACAGTAGTTAAAACATGAGATCCGCAAAGGAGCAAATATCTATGAAATCTTCCCCAGAATATTCACAATAAAAAAAAGACAAAAAATTAATAAAAATACTAGTAAAATAGACATACCTGTTAGCCATCTTTTTCACAGATGAAAACCGGTGACACATATTTAAGGCAGTTATATAACTTATACTGGGAATACTTAAATAGAACTGAAGAGCCTCACATTTACTAGGATTCAGCACGGCTGGAACATGAATACCAACATTCTTTCTTTGTTCCACCAATGATAGCTCCTTTAGTAAATCTGCAGTTTCTTCTTGTCCAGAGCTGAAAAGGATTCGGATTCCAGCCCCAACTAAGGCGGTCAGCAGACTGTCATAGCACTTTGTCCTTCTAAACATTCTTGATGTGTCTCCTAAAAATTTCATATTCAGGGAAAATGAAGGTCAGTGACTAAAATCAGGGAGAATAATTGGTACACTTTACTAGAATTCTAGCATCTCATCACTGAGTTAACAAGTGGTACCTTCTACTAATGAGAAACTACAACTAAGCTTCAATAGCTGATAGAATAAGGGGAACAATCTGTGCCTTGAACTGAAATTAAC